CCTGAAACGTTTCTTTTAAATACAATGCCCTAGCTTTTCTTGAAGCCCACTGTCCCCATCCTGGCTCTGCAAACGTGACCCACCACAGGGTATTCGACAAGTCCCCTGGTAATACTGCAGTACATTCCAAATCTTAGCAAGGAAATAATCTGTGTGTCCTTGGGCTCGTCGGTCTCTGAAACTCAGTTTTTTCTTCTGCAAAGTGAAACAATGGAACAGCTTGAGGTTTTCCAAACGGTATCCTACCGAGCCCTTTCTTATTGACATGAGGCTTCAGGTTTTGCTGCTTGGCAGAGAAAGGAGGCCAAACCGAGGCCACACCCTCGTAGGATCAGAGCAGCACCACTTTCTACTGTCATTTATCAGAAAGCGTACATGCTGTTCTGTGGGGTTGCCAGGTGAAAGACTATCCTGCGGGTTAAAAAAGGTGTGATGATCAGGTGATGTTAATGAGCTCACTCAGTTCTAAATGGGATTCTGATATTTAGTGGATACCAAATATACAACTTTGAACATAATTGTTAGCGGTTGGATCAATATCAAATTATAACGAATGTTGGTTAAATGGCCTTAACTACTTACTACAATTCTAAATCAATATTTCCCAAAGAATTATCTGGAATTCCCAGGTCCACCCCTCAGAGATTCTAACTCAGCGAGGGCAGGGAGGAACTGTAGTCTTTGCCGCTTCTCTTCCTTCCATAAGCACCCCAGATGATTATTGATTATCAGGCAAGCTCGGAAAACCCCCACCACAGGTAACAGCAAAGAAATGTGGAAGTCACAATGTAGAAAATGAGTTACTTTGATTTAGAATATAAATACCTTGTATTCATATTGCTCAGCGGGGACAAAAAGTAGCCTACAAGTCAACGTGTGAGTCATCCATTTTTTTTTTAATGAGTTTATATACAAAGGGACGGAAGGCCAGGAGGTATACCAAGAGGGTAGCTTTGTTTGGTGAGGTTCCTGGTTTTGTTTCTCTGGGATCTTTATTCCGTTGAGGGTAAACACAAACCTTTGAGGGTGAGGTGGGGACTCTGATCATCACCTGCGTCCTCTTGATGAAGAGGAGCTGTTGCCTCTATTCGGGTTAGCTTGACACACAAATTGCTATGGATGTAGTAGACATCATTTGAATTAGTCTTACATCCAAATTCTGTCTTTACCGAGGAATCCTCTGATCTGTTTCATACCTGAGAGAACAATGTCACAAGTGTATGTCTACATAACATTTTACTGTTTAAATGAGTAAATCGGTGCTTTGACTTCTTGACCCCCTTTTGAGAATAGCTGGTGTGAATTAACTCCTCAGAGGCTAACAAAGCCCTTGGATGCAATGAAAAAAGTAAATAAAATCCAATTCCTGAACATGCAAAACAGGCTCTCCCACAAGCTCCCCATGAGGACTGACCTCAATGGCACTCAGCCGTCTTACCCCTGTTAATGCACCGACTGCCACCACGAAGGCTGAGTGTACTCAGGGCAACTTCAAAACTAATTCCAGATGTATATGTCGCCGCACAAAGGGCAGGATCTGCTCGCCCGCAAGATAAAAGCCAAGCGTCAAGAGGCAAGATGGTGGCAGAGAAAGGGCATTTTATTACAGCTTGCTAGCAAGAGGGAAGATGGCCAACTAATGTCCGAAAGAACCATCTTAAGGGGCACAGAATCTTGAAGCAGTTATATAGGCCAGTGGGTTACAGGGGAGTGGGTTAGGAATGTTGACCCTCTGGTGTTACAGACTGGGAGTCGCCACACAAGATCTTTCAGTTGTCATTGATGATGGCTATCAGAATAGACTCTGTTTGGGAGGCTCATCACATTCCTAAGGAACTCAAAAGAACAAAGTTATCCTCTTATCGCAGCTGGGAGGTACATGCACAAGCAGGGGCCATAAAATCTACAGAGCAACTGGATCTTCTGGAGGGTGCAAATCCAGCTAGGTTAGTTAGTCAGAGGTCACTGAAAGTTAGAATAGTTCTCTTTTCTACAATATGGCTTGCCTTATGTCAACCTTGTCTTGAGCTGGTATCATCTAACCTGCTTTTTGGCTTTTGACAAAGCAGGGCAGGTGGGGAAGAGGGTGACGTATTAGGAAGCAATATGTTTGTTCTGTTATGCAGAAACGAGGTTTCAGTATATCTTGAAATTTAAATATCTTAATAAAATTACCAGCAAATTTCTTAGAAATCTGGTTTACCAACATTTTAACTGATTTCCTATATGAAGCAGGAGCAACAACTGTTGACAAGCAGGAGCCTCTGCAAACTGTGGCGTGCGGGCCAAATCTGGTTCATAGCGCCCCAGTTCTACAGCCTCGAGCTAGAATAGGCCAACATTTTTCAAGAATGGTTTTTACATTTTTTAAAGGTTGTAAAGAAAGAAAAAGGTAAAGACTGCAAAGTACTTATTATTGGGCCCCTAAACAGAAAATGTTTGTCAACCCTTGGTCTACAGGAATAAAGAAGTCTGCTCTGTCCCGCCCCCACCAACCAAAACAAGACGTAAAGCAAATACACAAAACTAACCAGATGGACAAGTGAAAGGCTGACTTTTCAGGCAGAAAGTCCTCCTTGATTTTAGCAACTTTGAGTCTGCATCTGCATGATAGAAGAGTCAAAATATTTTGATAACAGTTCAAATTAAAGAAATGATAGGATTACACCAAGGGCTGTAGTGGAAGTTGAAACTGTCAACTTGGGGGGCTGCTCTTCTTGAAGTTAGTTCAAAAGGGACGATTCAATATAAATGACTATGTAATCATAAAATTTTTAATCCAAAGTAAATTCTCTCTATCGCCACTCTTATTTAACATAGTACTGGAGGTCCTGGCCAGAGCAATCAGGCAAGAAAAAGGAATAAAAGGAATCCAAATAGGGAGGGAAAAAGTGGAACTCTCACTGTTTGCAGATGACATGATCTTATATATAGAAAACCCAAAAGAATCCATTGGAAAACTTTTAGAAGTAATCGACAACTACAGCAAAGTTGCAGGGTATAAAATTAATTTGCATAAATCAGTAGCATTTCTATATTCTAATAACGAACTAATAGAAAAAGAACTCAAGAACACAATACCATTCACAATCGCTACAAAAAGAATAAAATACCTTGGGGTGAATTTAACTAAGGAAGTGAAAGACCTATACAATGAAAATTACAAGGCCTTTCTGAAAGAATTGGATGACAACATAAAGAGATGGAAAGACATTCCATGTACATAGATTGGAAGAATAAACATAGTTAAATGTCCATTCTACCTAAAGCAATCTACAGATTCAACACTACCCCAATCAGAATCCCAATGACATTCTTTACAGAACTGGAACAAAGAATCCTAAAATTCATATGGGGCAACAAAAGACCCCGAATTGCTAAAGCAATCCTGAGAAAAAAACACAGCTGGAGGCATCACAATCCCTGACTTCAAAACATACTACAAAGCTACAGTAATCAAAACAGCATGGTACTGGTACAAAAACAGGTTCACAGATCAATGGAACAGAATTGAAAGCCCAGAAATAAAACCACACATCTATGGACAGCTTATCTTCAACAAAGGAGCTGAGGGCATGCAATGGAGAAAAGAAAGTCTTTTCAACAAATGGTGCTGGGAAAACTGGAAAGCCATATGTAAAAAAATGAAAATTGACCATTCTTTCTCACCATTCACCAAAATAAACTCAAAATGGATCAAAGACCTAAAGGTGAGACCTGAAACCATAAGGCTTCTAGAAGAAAATGTAGGCAGTACATTCTTTGACATCAGTATTAAAAGGATCTTTTCGGACAGCATGTCTTCTCAGAGAAGGGAGACAATAGAAAGAATAAACAAATGGGACTTCATCAGACTAAAGAGCTTCTTCAAGGCAAATGAAAACAGGATTGAAACAAAAAAAACAACCCACTAACTGGGAAAAAATATTTGCAAGTCATACATCTGACAAAGGCTTAATATCCATAATATATAAAGAACTCACACAACTCAACAACAAAAAAACAACCCGATCAAAAAATGGGCTGGAGACATGAACAGACATTTCTCCAAAGAAGATATACGGATGGCCAATAGGCACATGAAAAGATGTTCATCATCGCTGATCATCAGGGAAATGCAAATCAAAACTACACTAAGATATCACCTTACACCCATTAGAATGACAAAAATATCTAAAACTAATAGTAATAAATATTGGAGAGGTTGTGGAGAATAAGGAACCCTCATACACTGCTGGTGGGAATGCAAACTGGTGCAGCCACTATGGAAAACAGTATGGAGATTCCTCAAAAAATTAAAAATAGAACTACCATACGACCCAGCTAGCCCACTACTGGGTATCTATCCAAAGAGCTTGAAGTCAGCAATTCCAAAAGTCCTATGCACCCCAATGTTCATTGCAGCATTATTTACAATAGCCAAGACATGGAAGCAACCTAAGTGCCCATTAACAGATGATTGGATAAAGAAGATGTGGTATATATATATACAATGGAATACTACTCAGCTGTAAAACAGAACAAAATCGTCCCACTTGCAACAACATGGATGGACCTTGAGGGAATTATGTTAGGTGAAATAAGCCGGTTAGAGAAGGACAATCTCTGTATGACTCCACTCATATGAGGAATTTAAAAATGTAGACAGAACAGATTAGTGGCTACCAGGGGAAAGATGGGGTTGGGGGTGGGCACAAAGGGTGAAGGGGTGCACCTACAACATGACTGACAGATAATAATGTACAACTGAAATTTCACAAGATTGTAACCTATCATTAACTCAATAAAAATTTTTTAAAAAATTAAATTCTCATTTTATAGACACAAGAAGGAATTCAGAGAAAGTAAGGATGTATGAAAATAGCATAAAATGCAAAATAAGTATTAAGAATTACTTAATCTTTATGATTTCCATCTGAGGTAGGTAAAGCAACATTACCAGTGTAACCACACAATTTAACAACCCAGGACACTAAAAATAAGGGGCATATAAAATTACATAACTTTTTGAAAATATTTATTGATTACATCTTCACTTTATTATGCCTGTGTGCACACAAGAAATGGGTTGTAATATGAAATATATTTTCTACCACATACAGTTCTGCCACAAGGGAATGCAAAATAAAACAGAAACTTCAGAATTTCCATACAGTTAATGCTTCCGGTATGGTTTATATCCCAAGAGAGTGATCCTCACAGACTTCAGGGACAATCATAAAGTTATCCTGTGTTATCAACTTGTCACCAAGTGGCTGGCTGGTCTCCTCAAAGGACTGGACCATATGGAGAGCTCAGCATGAGCCCCTGCTGCTGCTGACAGCGCAGGCATGAGTAGTGGCTGTCAGTCGATCAACGTTGATAAAAGCCCAAGCTGTTGGACCATGAATAGTCTCCATCCATGCCATCCCGACTAGCCTGTTCTGAGGCCCACTGAGCAAGCACTGGGGTGGCCTAAAGACGTCCTCTAAATACAAGTAATGCTATTTTTCAAAGATATGTAGATCATATTGAGGTTAATACAAATCTCAAGACCACGAAGGACGGCTCCAAAGATGGGGAAACAGATGAGTATGTACGCTCCCCTCTTCAACAACGCTCTTCAACTTGCCCACTTTTCCTTCCTTTCTCACCACCAGACCCAGCATGCCAAGGAGCCGTCCATAGCAAGTCTTCTTGCACGCTTCTTTGCGAGCCCACGAGAGCAACTGAAGGAGTACAGATGGCAGCTAACATTCATTGATTCCTGAGGCTTCTTTTATTTTAAACCAAAGTAATCAATTTAGCCTTTCCATTATAGTAGATTGGTTCTTCTGACGTCAAAGAAAATAAAAACAAAATTCAAAAGAATATAGACATATTCTGAAGTAAATGTTTATGAATATTTTCTTTTCTACTTTATAGGACTTAGGCTTTTACTTATACTTTTAAAAATGTTCCTTAACTTAAAAATGGTTATGATGGTAAATTTTACATGTTTCTTAACATAATTTTAAAAGAATTATTTAAAAGGTAATTGTAATACAAAGGCAGGATATGTATAATACGATGTATTTAAATTCTTAATTTTAAAACTATTAATATTTTGGGCTGTTTTGTTTCTTCTGTTCAGTATATTTGTGTATAAAGTGTAGACATATATTTCTCCGGGTAATGAGGGCAGAATGTAGACAGAGAACTGTGAGCGAGGTTACGTAAAAAAGGAAGAACTGTACCCAGAGCAAGAGCAGCTGAATAACCCTGATGGTCACATAATAATCAAGTAAAATGAGAGTGTGATAATGTGTTACAAGAGGAGGCTTTAATCAGATGTCATAAAAAAAGAAAGAAATGTTCCTTAAAGTTCAAAGATAAAAATATAATACTATGTCCTCAGATTGACCGTGCAACAATATGGCAGGGCAGCCACTGATGCTAGTCCAAGACGACCAGTCACCGGGGTCTATATTCTGGAGATCCTCAGCTCGTTTAGTTCCTATAAGACTGAGAAGGATTTACTTTTAAGATGGGGATTAAATGCAATGTGATCTCCTGAACTCGATCCTGGAACACTAAAAGTGGAAAAGTGGTGAAATCTGAATAAAGTGCATGATTTAAGTAACAGTAATGTCCCAATGTTAATTTTTAAGTTTTGACATACACCATGGTATATAAAGTGTTAACGTTAAGGGAAGCTGGGCAAAGGGTATATAGAGAACTTTCCACATTATCTTTGCAACTTTTCTCTAAAGCTAAAATTATTCCAAAATTAAGTTTATTAAAAGGAGGAGAGGACACTTAATTAAGGATGTGCCTGTGCACACAGAACACAAAACTGCTGTAGTGACGTTCTGATAACACAGCAACAGAGGGGAGCACACAAGCATCATTTCAAACATACCCAGAGAGAAGGCAGGAAGCAGTGATTGGGAGAAGGGCACAAGGGGGCTGCCGTCGCTGGTAATGTCCTATTTCTTGACCCAGATTGGTGGTCGCGTGGTCTGTTCCTTTTATGATAGTTCATTGAACTGTACTTTCCCCTACATCACCCTTCAATAAAAAAGAAGTTAAAAAAACATTTCCCTATTGCCGGTAAAGGTTAGAATGAAGACAAGATGTGTCAATAAATGAGATGTATATGTAGGGAAAACGAAAACCTTGATGGAGCCAGTTATAACAGTTAAGTCTAGAATCTTCAGAGCTGGGAAGGATGTTGGAAATTACGGTGTGAACAGTTCTTTACGGAGGTAGCCCTGCGGACACCGATGTGGGAGGGCTCGAGGGGCCCCGACATCTGTATTTGAGGCGACTCAGATGCAACCCAGGTCATAAACCATCAACTACCCAGAAAGGGTAAGTCACCTGACTCCAGGCCCTCTACACCAACAGGCCAAAGGTCCAGCCGAGATCCCTGAGATACTCATATTCCACTAGAGAGAAAAAACAGTACATTCTAGTAACCTTAAAAGGCTTATCAAAGCTTTTTCTATCACAATGGCTTTTTAATCCTATAAGTAACACTGGGTGTTTTCAACATAGTTTAGATTTTTCTACTTCCGCTACAGCACTTATACATTCGTTATTTATTATTGTGCAGGACATAATATCACTAGTTTACGCCTTGGCCTCCTTCATGTATAATTCAGTTCACTGTGATTTCTAGGAATGTTTCCGTTGAAAATAATTCTTGCTGAACAACAGTATGATGGCAAATGAAAAGAAGACGACAACAACACTTCACTGGAGACTTAAAATAATAAATCAAGGTGCTCCCTTTTTAATGTGTGGATAGATCGTGTAAATTAAAGAAGAATTTAAGAATATTTTTTAAGAAACAACAGTTTTAGGTAGGCAATTGTAAGGAAGATGACGATCATGCATGCCAAGGCTACATGATTCCTCCACAGGCCCCAAGGTGACAGATCGATGCCCTGGTTTTCCAAAAACTCTTCACCGGTACATCTGAAATTCAACAGAAAAAAGAACATGACTTCATTCTCGTCATCTGTCAAATTTTACTCAGTACATTCACTGCTCCTTAGTTCAAGAAGCCTATAGGTTACCAAGTCTTAAATAACTATCCCTTCATATCTAATAGGGTCACAGTCAATGAGTGCTTACAATTCTACTAGATACTGTGCTAAGAACCTGCGTACAATAGTTCAGTTAACCCCTAAAACAGCGCAATGGGGCAGATATTATACACATTTAAAAGATGAAGAGACTAAGGTTTAAGGAACTTGGCAAAGTTCACGGACTCACACTGTGAACCAAGTTGCTAGCCTCTCCAAATTCATTTGTTTCCAAATCTATGATGCTGCTTTCCTCAAAGGGCAGAACCTTTAATCAAGTAATTTTTCATTTACTCCCGATGGGGAAAACCTCAGCTTGAACAGATGACATCAAGGGCCCTTACAAAGATGATCAAAGCTCTTTATACAACTCATTACCCACAAATCAGCCGTGCAAAAGAACACAGGCTAAGAATTCTAAAGCGAGGCAAAGAGGCGAGTAAGGTCTTCCTGCCGGAGTTGCACTCCGTCAGCTCTTGCACCAAGACTAGAATGAGCATCACAGAGGCTCAGCTCAAGACAACGCCAGCAGGCCCAGTTATCAGGTGTAAGCCTTGCTGGTCGTTGGAAGAGAGCAGGATAGAGTAGTCCTATGACAGGTTAGAACAGCACCTGGTACTAAAAATGCTGGGCACAGCCACAATTATTGCCTGGTACCATTTTTCTGCAACTCTCGGAATTTAGCAGTTCCAAAAAAAATGTCATACTCATATGAAAAGAAAGGGAGTGGGCAGGATGAAGAAAACTCTCTTCACAAAAGTTTTCTGGCAATACTTCAATATAGCAATCTGTCCTCTTATTAAGCATTATTTCTATTCTACTTGAATGGTCATGACATTTAGGAGACTAGCATTCCTTTTTCTTCATTAATTAATGTATCAAAATTAAACCATTAACCAAAATCATCGAAAAGGAAAAGTGTCACTCCAGTTTTGAAGCAACATCCTCTAATTTTATTAAAATCTGCATTTGTTTTATTGACATAATGCAAAAAGTGAGATTTCCTTCTCAGCTTACTGAAATATGTGTTTCTTTCTTTAGAGGACCTACCCTTCAATAGGGAGTATTCCAAGTCAGTTCAAAAATAATAATAATAGGGGCCACCCCGTAGCCGAGCAGTTAGGTTCCCGCGCTCCGCTTCGGCAGCCCAGGGTTTCACTGGTTCGGATCCTGGGTGCAGACATGGTACCGCTCATCAGTCCATGCTGAGGCGGCGTCCCACATGCCACAACTAGAAGGACCCACAACTCAAAAAATATACAACTATATACCGAGGGGATTTGGGGAGAAAAAAAGCAGGAAAAAAAAAAGAAAAAGATTGGCTATGGTTGTTAGCTCAGCTGCCAATCTTTAAAAAAATAATAATAATAATAACTGGGCAGACTTTGATGTCATGATGTGTTCTAAATGCAGGAGGAAGAGGCAAGTGCCAGGATTATGGCAGGAAAATGCTCACTCCCTTTGTGCTCCAGCTGCCCTGTCAGCTCTCACTACCAGCCCTGGGCTGTTTCACGGGAATCCTCAAGTTCATGGACCCACACGCTTTTCACATAATCTGTACAGTTCAGACACCTCGCTAAAATATCAAAGCAGCTCATTACAAATTCAGATGTTCTGAAAATTAAAACTGAAATCCACAATCAAAACAGCAAAAGGATGTTTTAAAAGGTCCCAAACAAACAATACATAAGAAACATTTCTCCAATTTAAATACAATTTTAATCATAGAATACCGAGGAGTCGTACAGCACTTTCACATGCAATTTCGTGTCCCACAACTCACCTCATGGATAAGAAAATGTAGGCTCAGACAAGACAGTGTCCCTGAGAGGACTCATAGCAACTCCAAGCCAGCGGCCTCTCTACATCACACAACAGTAAGAAACCCCACGAGGACACTGAATGCAAACTTACGTTGCATAGCTACAGGTATCATTTGCTGTTACATTGAGTCCTGGGCAGAAGTTTTGTCCCAAAAATTCGTTATGCTGCAAAGCCTGTAACACAAGAGGGAGCAGGGCAAGGTAAATTTCAAAAAGTTTCCAAAGAATTAGCCCGATCACGTCCTCCTAGTGTAATCTTATTGTCATTTCTAAAAATAAACCAAGCTTCACATTCATAGTCTTTGTCACACCAAAGCAACTAAAATTATTCTCCCTGGAAATCAAGAGGCCTGGGGTTGGGATTTTGGCGTCTAATCAAAGGGAAGCAAAGTATTTGGCCAAGAGGGGAGACTCTGGCTATTATCCCGTAGCTCCTTTCTTCTCTCTCAATGTCATAACACCATAAACTCTATAATTAAAATGATACAGTGGTACTGGATAACTATTGTTAATTTATAGTAACATTATTTTGTATTGTTCTTGTTTGTTTTCATCAAAACCAACAATAATTCTTGGGAGTTAGAAAGTCAATTAGGCTATATTAAGACAGTTTTCTTTGCAGTTGATTCACTTTCTAAAGCCAATAGGCCGTAAGTATTACATGGTCTTTGTTTTTCTTATAATTTCCCTTTCAACATCAAATATGTATTTTAGGCTCCCATCCTCTCATTTATTTCCTTATTGAACTGAAATGAACTCTATTTTTAAATATCAATTAGTCAGTCTTCCTCATTCACTATGAGTTATCTCCCCACCCTTCACCTCCTCAAACAACAGGGTGACTGGAGAAATGCCAAGTGACTACCAAGGTGACCTTTGGCCTTATGTTAACCAAAAATAATAGAAAATTCTCATCCATTCCTCCTAAAAGGAAATTCTTGTATGGGAGACTTTCACAGCTCAGGGCTGTGGACAAGAGATGGTTAGGCTTTATTTTGGTTGTTCCTAGCTTGGGAACAATGACTTAGTCACATGACAGACAAGGAAAACTTACTGCATAGCCATATCGAGGAATGCTGAAGTACTGAAGCCACGAGAGCCAAGCCACAACAGTTCTGAGATTTACCAACAGCCCTGAAAATATCTAGGAAAAGCATATACCAAGAATTAGAACAGGTGGAGTGATCTCATGAATTCTAGAGAATACCCTCTTTAAGTCCCCTAGAACCTTGTAAACATTTCTGCTAAGACCAACTCTTTCTTGAAATTCCTTCCACTACTCTAAAGACTTACCATATCCTCTCTGCATGTGTATACCTCTCTATAGCTGAGGCTGTTTATGGTTTTAAAGGAATGACAATATACCTATAATGTATATTTCATTTAATTGGAAGATCCTGCATTGTCCAGGCTTTTACTTTCTCTCTAACTGCACACCATGGGTGGTCAATAAGTACTGACTGTTCAAATGAGACAACCACAGTATGTTCCCACCAATAAATAAAACAGAATAGGTCCTGAGCATCTCATGCTCCCTCTACTTCCACAACACGGTGAGATCTGTTATTTACAAGGGTTTGCATTCTATCTCCATCTGACTTTAGCAATACTTTGGGGTTCAGAATGCATACTTAACCCAAAGCCTAGAACTGATACACAGCACTATGTGGTGACATGCAGTATAAAATATGGTCAATATTTTCATGTAAAGCTACCACAAAACAGTATCACAATGGAGATCCCAGTAAGAGATGGCTACATAAGAAGAGGTCCAGGGGCTAGCCCAGTAGCCAAGTGGTTAAGTTTGCGCACTCCACTTCAGTGGCCCAGGGTTTCACCAGTTCAGATCCTGGGCACGGACATGGCACCACTCATCAGACCATGCTGAGGTGGTGTCCCACATAGCACAACCAGAGGCACTCAATTAGAATATACAACTACGTAGTGGGGGGCTTTGAGGAGAAGAGGAAGAAGGAAAAAAGAAGAAGATTGGCAACAGATGTTAACTCAGGTGGCAATCTTTAAAAAAAAAAAAGAAGAAGAGGTTTATATAAAACTTCTAACTGGTACTAGGCATGCTGGGATGGGCACAACAATGACAATATTGCTGGTGTAACTACATATTTTTAAACTTGGTCTAGCCAAGCGCTTAACATATAACCAGCAGCATCTGAGTAAAATACAATTTTATGACTGGTTTTTAAAGTTCTATATGCAAACCTTTAAATAATAATAAATCAAAGCATCTAATATACGAAACAAAACATTTTTCTATATTGAAGGACATTTATTGGATGACATTACAGGAAATTTACACAAGGTTTATCACTTTCTCAATAATGTTTAGATTAATAGTTTTCAAACTCAGAAATGGCAGAATTACACTTAGGCAAGAGTTTGTGCTAATTATGTACCTTTTAAAGACATCTACTCCTATTCCTACTCTAGCAGAAAGGACACATGAATTAAACAAATGGGCTAAGCATTCCTATTTCCTGGATGTAGCTGGGGAAATGTGGCAAGTGGTTCCCTTCGCCTGCCGATTCATCTACGTGCATGCACAATTTAGGGGCACATAGGGTTAAGACTAAGTAACCATTTGGGAAAAAAAAAAAAAGGTAAGCAGAAACATATTGATTTAAGAGAATGTCAGCAACCCAGATAGGAGGGGACCTAGTGCTGCGTGGACTCTGGAATTTTCCAATATTTTTAAAACACTCCTTTCAAAATACAGGAGGGACCCAAGATAGACTAGCCATGCCACATACTGCTCTGTTTCTCATGGAGCTTAGCTTTCCCCTTGGAGAGCAGAAGATCCAACCAGACTGTCTCAGCTGCTAGTTAATCGAGCCAGCAGTTCTCTAACGCCAGCACAGAAGTCAGGCAACTAACCTGTTGTTTTTATGAGGGAATCTTCCAATCAAAATTTTTCTGGTTTTTGAAGTTCCAATTTATCAAGGTTTCACTATATGTCACCAAAAAGCATCTTTTAAAAGCTCATTTCTAACAAAATGTTAACTAAAGTTCAAGAAAAATCTGGTACATTCTCGAATATAAGCTATCCTTCAATACATGGCCTCCTTAAAGCAAAGAGTCCCATTGACAGAATCCTCAAAGCAGGTTTTACATGACAGGTGATTTGTGGGAGGGAACAAGGGGAAAAAACTATTTCTCAGAGAAGCACAGTTCCAACTCACCATCATAAAGACAAAACAGATGGTCATGAGAAGTGTTGCGATGGATACCACACTCTGACCTGCTGCTATAGCCAGTGCCATAGAACTGGCGGAATAAGCCACCATCATAAGGGTAAACATCATGATGAAGAAAGCCTCCACCTTTGGTTTCAGTCCTTAGGAAGAAAAGAGGGGGTTAATCCCACTGCCTAGGTCACTGTGTATTTGGGATTGTTGAATTGTGCAGATAACAATATACTACTTTGAGAAACTAATATCAAAACGAAAAAAATTGATCCCCTATCCAACCACCCTGGATCACCAATTTCATTGTCCCCCCCCCCATATAACCCTATAAAATTATCACACGGTGTTCTTTTTATACTTACTGCATAAGCACTTTTCCATGTACACCTAGGCTCCCTTATGTGTAATTCACAATTTCTGAGTGTCTGAGATGGAGAGCAGCAGGCAACACAATTGACCAAAATTCTACTGCCTTCTCTTCTAAGAAGGAAACTTGCCAAGAGCACATTTGTTTTGTCCAGATGTTACCACATTACTTTCTGTTTGCTGTAACTGCATTACATTAGTGAAGAAACTGGGAGATGAGGATTACGTGCCCTCCCAGTGGCTTTAATATCTGGAGGAGAGCTCCAGGACTCTAGTCTCCTGAGAAGAAGTACCACAGAACTCTGGGGTTGAGGATGGGGTTAACGAAGTTTCATAAAACTACTTCATAAAATATAACAGGCTACTATTATGGGTCATTCAATCTGAAAATCTGGAATGGCCGTGAGATCACCAGCCAGGAGTCTGAGGATCTAGGTTTTATGGCTAATTCTTTATGACACACTTCTTATTTGTAAAATAGAAGTCTAAATAAACTCAATCAGTGGATCTCCTCCTATGGTGTTTTCTCAAAAAGATATATGCATATTTCTGGTGTGTTTCATCAGTAAAATATATGGAAATTCTGATGCAATGAGCTTGAGTGAAGCCTAAACACAATGCACACATGAATCTACATCTATCAAATAAGTATTTTTATTAAACCAAAGCCCCAAGTCATTATCTTTCCCCATCTTCAGATATATATATACACACATACACACAATATAAATAGACAGGTAATACACATCCCAGCTCCAGCTCCTCCAGCACAGTCTCAAACAGTTTTATGAATTCTTTCCATACTTGTACATGACACACAGCATCTCTCAGTAAAATATAGTTTTATAAATAGTTTAAAAGTTTGGTTTGGGCAAAGTTGTGACAAAAACGTCCTCAGAGATAGTTATTTCAGAACGTGCACAATGGGTAGATGCTCCCATATCTCATGGCTCAGTTTATAGTTTTCAGAACCAAAACATGTTTGCAGAAAGAAATTAGCATCCCCTCATATCCACGACTAAAGGCACAGACATTTTGTCTTATTGCTTACCTAACAAGAAGTATGTTATACAAGTAAATATGATACTTGGTAACATCCTCATGGGCAGTAAATCAGATAACAGTTTTCCAAGGAAATAAGACGACACTCTGTAGTATCCACTGATGTATTCATGTCTAAAGAACAAAAACTCATATCATACATCCTACATTAGCTTGAGAAGGCACAAGCCAGGTGATTAAACCACTTGCTTGACAGATTTCTGCTGCCACCAGGGGTTTAACACCTACTGCTTCTCACATCCTTGAGGTTAACCCGCCACCCTACATCCCTGTCAGCTTCAGGCACCCACTGTCCTAGGACGTCATCCCGGAGGAGCTCTGTGCAATGAGCCCTCTTCTCATCACAGAGCCCCCTCCGCACACCGCCCACTTTGCCCTCGGAACACCCACCCACTCCAGGTAGCCAGGTTCTGCATCTCCCACGACAACGGCTCTCCTTGCAGACCAGCATGTCAGCAGCTGATCTCAGTAATCAGAGAGACTTCTCTTTCTCCCAACTTCTGATTATGAAGAAGCCCACCAACGCAGGGGGCATGGCCATCCCCAAGCCCCCCAGCGCAGCTTCGATCACTAAATTTCCTACTTCTTCCACTCTCATGATAAAAGACGAAAACAGCACTTCTTCCGTTAGTGATCATGCCTGCCAACCAGACAGCCCGTCAGCTATCAAATCCTATTTTCTCCCCTCTGAAGTTCTAGACCCCTCCTCTTCCTGACATCTTGCTCCTGTAACTCCAAACTCTTCCACCAACACCTTCATTCTTTCCCTCTCTAATGACTCCTTTCCTCAGCATGTAAATACGGGCAAATCTCTGCCAACGTTGAAAAACACAAGAAACAAAACAGCCCGCTCTTTATTTTAAGGCTGTCCTCTCTCGCTTTCTGTTCCCTTCCATTGAGGGCTAAGCTTAGTCTACATTCTCTGTCAATTTTATCTCCCCACTTCCAATTTGCTCCTCAATCCATGCCTTTCTCTCTACCAAGCCCATCAAACCGCTTGTGAAGGTCATCATGACTTCTTATTTGCTAAAAATAAAAGATCCTTTCAGCCTCTTTATTGCTTGCTTTCTCTGCAGCATTTGGATTTCCTAGCTATGTCCTAATCTTAAGACTCCTTTCTCCCTTGGTATCAGACCCTCATATTTTCCTCTCAGACTCTGGCTGCTTTTTCACCATCAACATCGGCAACCCCTAGGAACCGATCGTGGCCTGATTCTGGATGTGATCAGTGTGATCAACAGCCCTGATAATGGAAGGCCCCTTCCTGGAACAGACAGCTACTCACATGAAGAGCTTCTTCTCCACCACGAAGAGCTCCACGGCCGACACGCTGCTGAAACACTGGTTGGTCGTCAGGAAGAAGAGCACCCCAGCTCTGCGATGAGAGAAAGGGAACAAAAGCACCACAATCGATCAAACCTTCTGAGGTCAATTTTCTAACCGCAAAGTTCTTTCCTCATACCACGTTAGGCAGACAACTGTTCTGGCTAAAACAGAGAGGAAGTATGAGCCCCATCGGGTCTCTCCCGGACCCCTGCGTCTCCACAGTGTACCCCAGGAACTGTGTACAGGACAGTTTGAAATTCCCAGTCCTGGGCTGCTATGGATTGAACTGTGTGCCCCCAGTTCCCATGCTGAAGCCCCGACTCTCAACGTGATGATGTTTAGTGATGGTGTCTTTGGGAGGCAATCAGGTTTAGATGAGGTCATGAGGATAGCGCCCTCATGATGGGATTAGTGCCCTTAGAAGAAAAAAGAGACACATCAGAGCTCTCTCTGCCATGCGAGGACACAGCAAGAAGGCAGCAAGCCAGAGGAGGGCCCACGTCAGAACCCAACCATCTCCAGAACTGTAAGAAATATACATCTGTTGTTTAAGCACCCACTCTGTGGTTCTTTGCTAGGCAGCCATGCTGACGATTACATAGGTCATAAAAATACTATCACCTTGAATTTTAACTAGCAAAAACACCAAGTACCATTCTTATGTCCAAACAAAGAAACGACGAGTCAAATAAAGCCTGCAACGGTTAAAAACCTTTATTGGCCAATTTTTAAAATTTGAGTAAAGAAGAATCTAAGACACGAGGTGGCAAAATCAAAGAAGCGGAGGGAGACCTCTGCCAACACCTTATCACATATACACATCCACCACACAACCGTCAGCAGAGCCTTCATGTTATCCTCCATGACACATCCCCAACACAGTTTCCAACGTGCTCAACAAAGAAAATAAAGTGATGCTTACAAAGGAAAAATTAATTTGTGCAACTGTATGAAAAGGAAGACTATTAATGCTTCTTTCTCAATAAAATAATTAAGGTTTAAAAAAGGAAAGTACACAGCTAATCTCCACTTCAATAGAAACATGGATTTTATGAAAGCACGCCAACATCCCTAAAGCAGTGTTGGGCCTCCCTTCACAGACTAATAATTTAACTGACATTCAGGATGTGAGTTGAAACTGAAAGGGATAAAGTGGCACATCATTTAAATGACACAAAAATAAGAGAATGTTTTAAAACATGTAAACCCAAGCGTACAATCCCAAAAAGAAAGAAAGAAGTCATAGACACTCAGAATTGTTTTTAACACCAAAAAAATAAAGAACTTAAGGAACAGGCTGTTTTAAAAGTATATGTTTATACAATAATTAATGAATAGAAAATAGCCAGGCCTACTTCACAAGCAGCTATGCAAACTTCTGTGCACAAAAAAGCCTAATATCAAAGTAAAAGCTAATTTCAGAAACATGGGACACAGCAGCAGCTCAGCTCAATTTGTAATAAGTCTTATATCTAATGGTACAATAACGTTCATAATGATTCTGAACCAGTAGATAGTGAAATGCCTTCTAAATCATAAGATAATTTATTTTATAGTGAATACAGTTTTTATTGTTAAAGAATTTAATGTATTCTAATTCTTTTCGAGGTGGTAATCCATGTCTGTAATATCTACTTATTGTTCCAAATTTTTTTTTAAATATCTCTTTTCTTAATATACATTAATTGGTTTAGCTATCACCACAACCCTGTAATGCAATTATTAGGTCAAAGAAGCTCATACTCTACATGCGATTAAAACCCAGCTTGTCAGTTTACCAGTCAGAGAAGGAGCAAAGAGAGCATCTCTCTGGGATAATTCATTCCCAAAGAAGGGAACCAAACTACTAGCCTCTCAAGCAATTTCAAACGATGATAAAGTGGTAGCAAGCTTAAGTCAAAAACACAAATTAAAATAAATCCAATGCCCTATTTCTCCCTAAGACATTTGAAGAAATAGCTAAAGCTCTTCATTTTTCTGGATTCTTCTACCAAGAGCTTTAATGGCTAGATTTCCAGTTCTTCTTTAAAATTCCAATTGATAACAGGTTTCCCAATATATTTTTCCCAAATGCTTCCCACTGCACAACACAAAAGGTCCACAGGCTCTAGATCCTACGATATATAATCTGTGCTTGGTGAAAATATGGACTTTACAAAGGGTACAAACCATCAACCACTAGCAACTTTGGAAACAAGCCAGAGAAGAAAGCCCTCAGGGAAGGCAAAGAGAAAAGCAATGATATAACTCTGGAAAAGAGCTACAATAATCATCTCACAGTAAAGTAACACTATCTGACTCCATGCAGGAGATATTTTAATTTACCTGAGTGAGGAATTGACCTTGATACTTATTCCTTCTTTCATAAATAATCACCCTTTTCCAGACATCAAAACAGACTCAACTTAAGTTACTGCAACTTTTCTCAATGGTACAATGAGGATAACACCATTCGCCTCTCTGGCCAGGAGGGTAACCTGAGACTGTGAGTGTAAAGCTCGGAGCACAGAGCCTGGCACAGAGCGGCTCTTCCTACACGAAGCCCAAGGAGACTGCGGGCTGTGAGGCTGACGTCTATTCAGAGCGTGCTAGACTCCATCACAAAGTCTCATCGTGAAACAGTATCTTTAGGGGCACTGTACGCCTAAAACGAGGTAAGGTAAACTAACATTAAGTGCTAACCACATAACAGAAAAGATTGAGTCCCATCTACCTCCCCACATCAAATAAATCAAAAAACAGAAAGGAAATTAACTCACAGGCAAGAAAAAAAAATAGATAAACTAGAACTGGACTGTGTCAAAGTTTAAAACTTTCGTGCATCAAAGGACACTCTCAGAGTGAGAAGACAACCCACAGGATGGCAGGAAATATTTGCAAATTTGTATCTGATAAGGAGTTAATATCTAGAATAAAGAACTCTTATACTTCAACAATAAAAAAAAAAAGAATCCAATTTAAAAAGGGGCAGGGGATTTGAATAGACATTTCTCCAAAGAAGATATGCAAATGATCAATAAGCACATGAAAAGATACTTAACAACACTAACCATTAGGGAAATGCAAATGAAAACCTCAACGAGATAACACTTCATACCAATTAGGGTGGCAATTATTTTTTTAAAAAAAACAGAAAATAGGGGCTGGCCCCGTGGCCGAGTGGTTAAGTTCGCCCGCTCCGCTGCAGGCGGCCCAGTGTTTCGTTGGTTCGAATCCTGGGCGCGGACATGGCACTGCTCATCAAACCACGCTGAGGCAGTGTCCCACATGCCACAACTAGAAGGACCCACAACGAAGAATATACAACTATGCACCGGGGGGCTTTGGGGAGAAAAAAGGAAAAAATAAAATCTTTAAAAAAAAAAAAAAAGAAAAGAACAGGAATTGGCAAAGCTGGGGAAGAAACTGAAACCCTTCTGCACTGCTGGTAGGAATGCAAAATGGTGCAGCTGCTGCAGAAGACAGGATGGCGGTTCCTCAAAAAATTAATGGAATTACCAAATGATCCAGTAATTCCACTTCTGGGTATAAACCCAAAAGAATTTAAAGCAGAGACTTAAACAGATGTTTATTTGTACACCCACGTTCACAGCAGCATTATTCACAACAGCCAAAATGTGAAAACAACCCAGATGTCCATGGACAGATAAATGGATAAACAAAATATGGTATTATCCATACAGTGGAATATTATTGAGCCTTTTAAAAGAAAGAAATTCTGACACATGATACAATATGGATGAACCCTGAAGACATTATGCCAAGGGAAATAAGCTAGTCGCCAAAGGACAAATACTGTATGATTCCACTTATAAGAGGTACATAGAGTGGTCAAATTCAGAGACAGAAAGTACAATGGGGACTTCCAGGGGCTAGGGAAGGGGGACTGGGGAGTTATTGTCCACTGGGTACGGAGATTCAGTTTGGGGAGATGAGAAAAGCTCTGGAGTTGGACAGTCCCGCTGGTTGAACAACAATGGGAATGTAATTAATGCCACTGACCTGTACACTTAAACCTGGGAAAGAGGGTAAATTTTATGTTCTGTCTATTTTACCACTACATATATATATACCTATATGAAAATTAACTCACCAGTTCAGCTTTCAGCTCACTGACTTATCCTACTCCTCAATTTACTCTGTACTTGTCTCAAATTCCAATTCTTAGTGCATTTTTCCTACGCTTGAAAAAAGTGACAGCAATTTCTCAAAATCAAGATCTGAATTTACTTACCTATTCTGGATTCCTGCAGAGTCCATTTTTAGATCATAGAAAATGGCACCTATAACCAGTCCCAGGATGGCTGTTATAATTATCTTTTTGAAAAGAAAAAACAGTTTCAATTAAAGGTGAAAACTTAACACACCATTTATTATTATAATATATGGCTACATCATCAAATCTCTCCATTGAGATCCTTTAAATGGCTTGGCCAAGGTCCTTGGGAGAATATAAAACAGTGTATGTTATTAGACTGCTCTCTAAATTAAAGTAGAAAATCATCTGAGTGTTAGGAAGACTAACAGGAGAACAAAGGAGACTACTGGAAAAGCAAGATTTCTCCCAGTGCTACACCAGGCACCACCAGTTCAGGGTCCAGTTCAGGCTACTGGGCCTGGGAATGTGGCAGAACAACACAAGTGCCTAGGAAAGTAGTTTGGGGAATAAAATTAAGTGACCTGAACTCTCAACCTTTGTGCTAGTGAACATGCATAGTTTTATATTTCAAGAGGTTCAAGTAAAAACAAGATGTCTTTATTCTTAACATTAAAAATAAATAAAATTTTTAAAGCACTACATAAATAAATTGTAACAATGGAACTTTGCATGTTAAGGAAGGAAGAGTGGGCTGGGGCCTGTCTATCGGACCTGGGTGGGGAGTCCACGCCTGCACCGGAAAAGTGCATTGTCTCCATCACCAAGGCATTCAGCCAGCTTTCTGTGAAGGCACCCAACTGCTTCCATTACCCATTCTGCTGTCACTGCTTCTCCAGCAACCTCAGCCCGTAGGGCCCACAGCCAACAGTTAGAACTAAGCTGCCAATTCTTTGCCACTCTTTCCTACCTTCACTGACTCAATCTGATGACCCCTAAGAAGACTGGATAAACATCACTTTTGTTTTTAAGATTGGTAAACTGTCACTTAAGGACACTTCTATAAGCAAAGTGTTAAGGGCTATATTATGATATAATTTATTTAAGGAAATTCTACTTACTATACTTTTATATCATATTAAATATAAGAAATAGTAATTGAAAGAAAACAAAATATCCCACCATATGCCTTAGAACCTTCAAGGTTCAAAAAAACAGTCTTAGCGCTACAATAGTGCACTGGTATCGAGGCTTGAAGTAACATGTCAAGTGCACTGCTGGCATGAAGCAAACCAAACTGAAAAACAGGATCAAGCTCTGTGAAGACCACAGTGTAGAAAGAACATGATCTGTGATTCCTTAAAATTTCCCTTGCTAAATAAGACAGCCAGAAATTTGAAAAAAAATCTGTTATCCTGGCATATTTTAATTACCTTCAGAACACATTGTGCTTCATGTCAACAAATCAAGCTTGCAAAACAAAGGATCATAACTCCATCAACATGTATGCACATGTATACATGTCTACACCTTCACACAGTGTAACCTGAAGAATATTCAGAATTTCATTTAAATTGGACACTTCCGTGCTTTGTTTCTTTTGCATTCAACTTGGTATCTTACACTAACAGATGTTTCCTAAAGGTAGCAAAGTTCTAAAAAGTATTTTCAAAGTCAGCCTTCAAACACTTGACAAAATGATTAATCCCGTACTTTGGCCATGCTTTTACAAGGTGTGTCTGTTATTCTTTCTTGCATTAAGGAAAAGAAAAACAGGCAAACTAAACATTGCTCAACGGAGCAGGCAAAGAGATATTCTACGAGTTCTGTACATCTGGCCTCTGTTTTGAACAGAACCAAAAGAAGAAAGTCCCTAATGTAATTCTGTCTTTCGTCAAATGTGTTTACTAACATTTCTCAAAGTGAGTTCTGAGGGGATGTTTATGGCCTTCATTAAAAAAATTAATACCTAGTCAAATGCTAAACATGCTAATGAAACAATGAATCTCCAAGAGACAAGATAGTGTTTTCCAAATTGATTTAATCAGAAAACCCTTGGCTGAGGAAATGAGCATTAAACCTTCCTATACGGATAATCCATTCACACCAAGATCTTCCAAATATCAGAAGCAAAGTCTGAGTCATGTAAATGACTAAGTGTGGCTGTCAGACTGCTGATGATTATCAGCAGGAAACCATAACACATTTTAATAGCTCCTTATTCAAATACTTAGAGAATAAATGACATTCATAGAAGATTAAAAGCCCTAAACCTACCCCACAGGCCAAACAGGGCCTGTGGCCTATTTCTGTTCAACCCATGAGCTAAGAATAGTTTTGACCATTTTTTTAACAGCTGAAAGAAAGACTATTTCTTGCCATTTGAAAATTATGTGAAATTCAAATTCCAGTGTCCATGGAGTTTTACTGGAACACAGCCAAGATCATTTGCTTATGTACGATCTATGGCTGCTTTCTCACTAAAATGGCAGAGCTGAGGGGCCCGCTCGGTGGCACAGCGGTTAAGTGCACATGTTCTGCTTCAGTGGCCGGGGTTCGCAGATTCAGATCCTGGGTGCAGACATGGTACCGCTTGGCAAGCCATTCTGTGGTAGGCGTCCCACATAGAAAGTAGAGGAAGATGGGCATGGATGTTAGCTCAGGGCCAGTCTTCCTCAGCAAAACGAGGAGGATTGGCGGCAGATGTTAGCTCAGGGCTAATCTTCCTCAAAAATAAATAAATAATAAAATGGCGGAGTTGACTACCTGAGACAAGGAGCACATGGCCTGCAAAGCCTAAAGTACTGACTATCTGGCCCTTTACAAAAAGGTATGCCTCCTCCTGTCCTAAGCTAACAGTCCAGTATTGACAAATCTGACCATGAGTTGCCCTTCCAAGCAGATGCAAGTCTGTCCTTATTCTACGAGATGGCCACAGCTCTGGACACTGCTGGGATTCCTTTTGTGGAAGTGAGTTCACTGAGGAGGCAAATAGGCTGAACAGGCCACCTAGAGGCACTAGACCCGGGGTTTGCATTCTGAAGGAAGCCTAGCACCAAAAGATGCAGAATCATGGTGTATTAGAAATAGCTCCACATTCTAATCATGCCCTGCCTAGAACTACCACGTGACTGGACAAGATCCTTATAAACCATTGTTAGAGGCAAGAGAAATTTAAGTTACTTTCCAAGTAAAAAAATCTGCTGCAAAACACACACTCAAGAATCAACTCCATGACATCGACTCACTGTTGAATCATGAGTAACCAGGTTGACCCCATTTTTGCACTGCTGGATGCAAGCTCCCAAATGCAGCACGCGATCAGTAAGCACTCGTTGAATGAATCGGTGAATGAACACAGACAGCTAACAAAAAACCCCAAATGTAGCTAAACATTTCCTTTACTTTGCAATTTTTGAAAAAAAAATTTTCTACAAAGATTATCCACTACAGCTTGCCTAAATCAACAAAAATTCTTAAAAAAAGTTTTCCATAAGTAAAAACTTAATTGTGTTTTACTTGTTCTATTGGCTACTTCTATATCCCAAATGGAGCCGGGATAAATAAATGGAAGGGTGGGTAGAAGATAAACAAATTCCTAAGATAAACTCTATCAGAACCCAAAGTTCCCACACGAGTATTTCACAGCATAATTAGAAGAATCTGTCAGTTACCTGAGCTATAGAGGCCTGGGGATTGCCCAGTAGGTTTTTGAATGAACGCTTGGAAATCCATTTGAGTTGATGAAAGAAGGAGGAGACATAGGTGATCTCCTTGAAGGCTATGCTCTTCTTGCTTTTCTGAGCCCCTGAGAGTTGATCTAACTCAGCTTTCGTTTCTCTGAAGAAGGTAGAGTTGCCATAAAACTCAGCTAATTTTTCTAAGAGAGACAAATCTCTCTGGGAAGGCTCTTCAGTCTCCCTGGCTTTGGAATAAAAGTAGATAAAGAAGGGAAACATTATTAACAAAATAACAACTGATTTAGCCCATTTTTCTGTAGCCCTTTCTTAGATTCTTCCTTAATATCTTAATTCTAAAGCTTGAGTATAAAAAATTATTAGATCTCTCATTGCTTTTTACATTAAAAAGATACATGGTTAATTGGCCTGCTTCCATAAACTTATGGATCCAGCAAACCCACTGAGCTTTTCCTAACTATAATATTTGGACCCTAATACTTTTATCATACTTCTTATCATAGGGAGTTATAAGTCCTAATATAAAAACCTAATCCTTGCTTTCTTCTATGTGCAAATGCATAAATTGCCAAGTTTCTTATTTCAAAACACTATATAAATAAGATGGGCACTTTTTTTTAATGGAAACTACCCTTAAAACTGATACCATCATACAAATGCTCATTTGCAAATTAAATCAAAAACACAGCATTCATGAACAACAGAATCTGTGTCGACTGGTGCTGCAGACTGAATTGTTTGTGTCCCCTCAAATTTCATGTGCTGAAACTAATCCCGAGTGTGATGCTATTTGGAAGTGGGCCATTTGATAGAAGATTAGGTCATGAGGGTGGAACCCTCATGAATGGGATCAGTGCCCTTATAAAAGTGGCTCAGAGAGCTCTTTGTGTGCCTCCTTCCACCATGTGAGGAGGCAACAAGAAGATGGCCGTCTATGAACCAGGAAGTGGCCCCCAGCCGGACATCAAACCTGCCGGCACCTTGACCTCGGACTTCCCAGTCTCCAGAATTGTGAGAAATAAATGTTTGTCCTTTAAGCCACCTAGTCCATGGTATTTTTGTTATAGCAGCCTGAAAGGACTAAGACAACTGGTATCAGAGGACAGCTTTAATATAAATTTGAAGGCACATTTTAATGAGCTACCGCATTGCTAAACTCCAGCTAATTTTATTGGGTAATAATCTGTGACTCTCAACAGATTCACATACCTTCACCTTCTGGGTCCTCTCTGTTTAATAACACAGCAGAAGAGTCTCCATTAATGACATCCAGGAAGAAGTCTGCAGGGTTATTATAGGGCTCACAATGGTAACCTACAAAAGAAGGCAACTCAAGTACACGAAACTTGATGGTTTTGGAAAATAAAGAGGACTCACTTTCAGAGGGCGAAGCTGGAGGAGACTGACTCTAACAACTTCTCCCTCATCTTCTTTCTCTCTTTTCCCCTTGCTAATTACCCTTTCTTTTAATATATTCAGTCACACAGTACCTCAACAACTCTCTATCTCCCAGCAAAAAAATATACTCCAAACCAATCTTGGACTCTCAGAAAGTCTTGCGTTAGTGCTTGGTCCTTACGCATCATAATTCATGAGACCTGAAACAGCGAGCAATATGCTCGGGTGCTTATCAGAAATTCTTCTAAACTCTAAATATAGGTCCAAGAAAAAAATACAACTTGAAAAATAAATGTTGTAGCTAGGGCCAATGCTCCTCAAAGCAAAGCAACAAGCAAAGCCAGCTAAGGCACAGCAGGACTGTGACTACAAGAGGCCTGGGTGTGTTCTGTCGTCTGAGGTCACCTAGGGACTGCCAGAATGCCAGAACCCACGTCAGCAATGGCTGCTTCTCTACCTACTAAATTCAAGTCCAAATTATCAGCTGTTTGGCTGCTGTAATTCCAACACAGAGAATAAATCACCAGAGCAGCATTCTCAAGAAAACGTGACCAGCACGGCACACTGCAGGCTTACCTCCACTTCTTGCAGCATGATCATCGGAACTCAACTTGGCCCGTAGTCTGACTCTTAAATTCATCTCCCCCAGACTCCCTAGACCCACGTATGTTTGATTGTTTTAATGATAGATTAAACAAAAACAAATTAAGAAAGATAGCTAGGGAATATTTTAAACTATATTTTGAATCATGAAGCAGCATCCATGACCACACATCTCTAAAATGAAGCCGACTACATGAGTCATAAAAAAATTACAACTTTGAATTTGAAATAGAACCAGGCAGTGCAGAACTGTCAGAAATGTTGGCCCATTAAAGTCAGACTTACAACCAGCCTTTCTATTGACTGGTATTATCACTCACACACACTCAAGACCTAAATCTGCAATCTAGTATTACTAGAAAATTAAGTAGCATCTCCACGAACCCTCATCAAGGTAAACCAACATCCCATGCAAGGGGAACAAATGGTAAAGCCTGACCTGTTATATGGTCAAGAAGACAAATGATTCCGCGGTATTAGCCCTTTCCAAAAATGTTCAACCAACAAATAACTGGCTAGGAAGCCAATATATTAATTGAACTGTCAGGAAAAGGTCACCAGAACCGGGAAGCAGAACAGATCTCGGCCCAGGAGAAACACTCACACACTCAGAGGCATACATACTCCAATAGGAAAGGAAGGACACCTAAGTAAAAAGCTAATGCTACAAAATGAAGAAAACCATTCTAGCACCAAACTGACCAGATGTTCTGGAGTGACAGAACTCACGGTATGTCTACTCCAAGATCAAACAGCACTCCCACTGACCTCCTTTGTTCTCTTTCAGGACCCTCGTAATGAAGGATCTTACTGCATAAAAAAGTCAACCATACCAGCTGATGCAAAGTACCCCAAGGCCTCTTGAGCAGGCCCATGGAACATTAGTTTTCCCGAGGCCAGCAAGGTGAGGCTGTCAAACAACTTGAAGATGGAATAACGAGGCTGATGAATGGAGAAGATGATCGTTCGTCCCTGTTTAGACATCCTAAGTTAAAGGGAAGAAAATAACAAGTCATTAAACATTCTTGGCAAAATACTTTATTCTTGCTTTTATCATTTGTTCCTGGTTCAACTTGATTATCTCTTACTAACTTTTCATCTCACATTATCTAACCAATAGTTAGGGGACCTAAATTCAATGCTTTTATTAAAGTACAAGGTTTCTTAAAACGTGTTCCATGGACAGTCTAGAATCAACCAGAACATTAATTGAAACTGCAGATTCTTGGACAGTCTTTCCCAGACCTACTGAGTCTAGGGAATCCATATTTTTAACAAGCACCCAGGTAGCCTGTAAGTACACTCAAGTCTGAGAACTTGTTATAGACTAAATATTAAAATAATGGTTGTATGCTCCGTTCCCATGGATCATGTACGTATTCTAGCTCCTTAGGAATTAGTATTCATTCTTCTGTCCTAAGAATGCAATTAACATTGCTATGTTTTTGCTAAATACTTTATAGATAACCTCATCTTAATTTTCACAATACTTTCACAAGGCAGTACCAATATTATTACTAGATATTATTACCTTCATTTCATAGGTAAGGCTTAGAGGGTTAAGCAACTGGCCCCAAGGTTCACAGTTAGTACGGAGCAGGGCTGGGATTTGACCCCGGTCTAATTCCGTGGCCAAAACATTGCTCAGCTACCTTTACACAGGAGCTACTACTTATGGGTAAAAGAAACAAAGGCCAAAATCACTCCTTAAAAACTGTTATTATTGAAAATATTTTATGAGGAGAATCATATCAATTTAAGCATTTTCTAAGCTATACACTGGCAGCATGTACAGGTTTGTCATGCTTCAAAGGGGATCAGGCCAGTACAGCAATCATTTCCATATAATGTGGAATAGAAGTAGCTGAGAGTTCCTCGTAAGCAAAATAGGAGACTATAACCCAGTCTGAAGATGACGTAAGTAGGGTGTTGACAAGCAAGAAGAAAAAGGGTAGTCGAGGTGGAAGAACATGGCAAACAAAGTGTGTGGTAACAAGATCTACTCAGGAAACTACACGGAGTTCATTGCAGAGCTGAGGTGTATGGGAGGGCGTTGGGGCTGCAGGAGGGGGGAGAAGCTAACAAAAGACTGCAGCAAAAAACAAGCCCACGATGAATCCCTTCTCTCAGAACTGGAACTTTAGGCAGTAGGCAATAAGAAGCCAGTAAAGGACTGGAGGTAGGGAAGTGGATTGGTGTGAGAGCCTTGCTAGTCTAAGTGTGGTCTTAGGATCAGTGGCATCAGTATCATATCTCCTGTTAGAAACGGAGACTCTTGGGCTCCACTTCAGAGCTGTAGATACAGAATCCGCATTTTAACCAGAGCCCAGGTGATTAGTGTACACAGTGGAGCATGAGAAAGATGCTTGTGTGCTAACTAGTCCAAAACATAATGAAAGATAGTCCAGTACTCCGTATCAATTCATCATTCTCTAATGAACACTGTTAACATAGGTACAGGTAATAAAAATATCATGGATGAATTCTCTAACTGAACTGGAACCTCAGATCTGCTACTTGGCATCTTCACTTATATCATGCAATTGACATCTCAAATGTTAAGATGTCTAAAATTTTAGACATCTTCCAATCTTCCCATTTCTTCTCATCCTCACATACAGACTTGCTTACAAGGGCACAGGCATCAAAGGAAGCAAGGTAATGATAAGGAGGGGATGCCATATGAAGGCAGTGTGTCTGGCAGCTTTTAAAAAAAATGGGGCAGGGGACAGGGTCCCAGAGGTGGTGGGCAGAGTGACTGGGAGATTGGTTACACTGAACAATTAAGTTAGCTGACTGAGTAAGTGAGTAAATATAATGAGATAATGGGAGCCAAGTTTCTCACTATCTGAAAAGTCATTCACAAACATGGAAAGGGTGAAGACTGAAAAGAACACTCAAGTGTTAGATTGGAATTGGAAATATTATTATGAATTCATGGGTTTTTTAATATATACATACTAACAGATAAAGCAGTAGTTATAGGCATATGTTGACACGTGTCATTCTATTCAAACTATATACATACACACAATATACATTCAATATATTTCCAAATAAACATAGAAATATATTTCTATGTTAGGTATACACTCATTCACATGCACACACACGTACACGTGTATTTCCTGGGCCTATCTCCTAAGAGGGTCTAGAAGCAATGACATTCCAGTAGCAGTGCACACACTAAGTAATCAGATCTTGGTTTCTAAATTGTAACTACACCAGAAGAAACCAGGATTAATGGCCGACACACAAAAAGTACAAGATGACCCTGGAACATCTTTTTGAGCAAAAAGTAAAGAAATACTTGAAAAATGACTAGGGACATGTCAAAAGGACACAAAAGCCAAATTGAAGGGGCTTCCACTGGATAAATCAGGGTTAATTTGATCATAAAAATAAATAACAGATTATAACCCACTGAATAAAATAAGAATATGAGTAAACATAAATGAATGGAGAAGTAGGAAATCTTCTTCCTTACAGTAGAATGCCAACTAATATATGTAAAAAGCATGAAGGAAATAGAAAATCACTACCTGGCAACAATCACACTAGTATCTGATACAGGCAAGAGTTGTTAGCACATGCTAAAACCGGTGAGTGGAGATTTGCTGAGGAGCAGGATATTGGCATAATATCCAATTATCTCCTCCAACAAAATACTAATCAATTACAAAGGGAAAAATAGTTATTTCACAGCAGAGAAACCCAGCAGACACCAACATGACCAGGCGATGCAGGCTAACATCACTGGGGGTGGGAGAAGTCAAAATCATGCAGCCCCTGGTGTTATGCACAGAGAAGAACACAGTATCATTTCTGTGTTGTCCCTGCCAAGAAATCACGGCCTGAGTCCGGTCATAAGGAAACAGTGGAAGGACCCCAGGTTGAGGGTCACTCTAGGAAATGTACTCTTGAACATGGGCAAGAACATGAGAGGAAGGGAAAGATGAACTGTCCAGGATTGGAAAAAACTGAAAAGGAAAGTTTCTGTAGAGGATCCTGACCCAGAAAGGAAAAAGGGACACTGCTGGTACAGCTGGTGATGTCTGGCCAGAGTCTCTGGATTAGATGGTGGCAAGGGCATCAATGTTGACTTTCTGGCTGGGAGGTATGTAAGGTGGTAGTGTAGGAGGAGTGTCCTTGTTTTTGAGTTACAGTCCAGAATATTTAGGGGTGACGGGGCACGATGTCAGAGAAAGCCTATGGTAAGGGAAAAACGATACAGGAAGATCAAATGCACTTAAACGGTAACAGTTGGGGAATCTAGGAAAGGGGACATGGGATTTCTTTGCACTACTCTTGTAACTTTTCTCTAAGGTTGAAACTTTTTAAAAATTAAAAAGATGTCCAAAACGTATCTTTTGAAATTTCTCCTATAAACATGTTTCTCCCACAGACTTCTCTCTTGATAAAAGGAAATGCCATTCCTTTTACCCCATTCTTCCAAATCTTCCCAAATGTTAGAATTCATTCTCGCCATAATCACACCCCACATCCAATTCATCAGCTAATCCTATTGGTTCTATCTTCAAAATTCATCCAGAATCTACCCACTTCTCACCACCTCACCACTACCATCCTAGTCAAAGCCAACATCGTATCTCAACTGAGCCACTCACTACAAGCAGCCTCCTGACTGGCTTCCTTACGCTCACCCTTGCTCAGTTATACTCTTTTGCCTACACAGCTGCCACTCCTCTGTTCTAAAACTCTCTAAAAGGTTCCGATGTCACCTAGAGACAGTAAAAGCCACAGTTCTTACAGTGGCCTACAAAAAGCCTGTATAATGTGCCACCCACTCAATTTCATCTCATGTCCTATGCTAACTGTTATGGACTGAAGAATCATGTCCCTCCCCCCCAAAATTCATGTGTTGAAGTCCTAAGCCCCAGTACCTCAGAAAGTAACTATATTTGGAGACAGGCTCTTTAAAGATGTAATTAAGGTTAAATAAGGTCATATGGGTGGGCTTTAACCCAATAAGGATCAGCAGCCTTATAAGAAGAAGAGATCAGGACACAGACACACCAAGGGAGGATGAAGTGAAGACACAGGGAGAAGGAGCTACCTATAAGCCAAAGAGAGAGTCCTCAGAAAACACCTTGATCTTGAACTTCTAGCCTCCAAGACCATGAGAAAAATAAACTACTGCTGTTTACGCCACCCAGTTTGTGGAACTTGGCTCTGGCAGCCCAAGCAAACTAATAGACCCACAAACCTCCATCACCTTAGGTCACTGGGTTCTAGTCCCTCTGGCCTCTTTGATGTTCCAAACTCATCAGGCACACTCTGCCTCAGGGCCACTGACTATTCCCTCCAACTAGAAGTCTCTTCTCCCAGATATCCAGGTCCCGCTCACTTGTTCCCAGCTCAAACAGTACATCACTGAGGTCTCCTCCGACACTTTATCAGGAAGGTGACACCTCTACCCCCATCACTGCCGTCTTCCCTACACTCTAACCCTGCCTCATTTTTCTTCAAACACTTTATTTGTTAATTGACTATTGCCCTCCAACAAAGAAAGAAGAAATTTTTGTCTGTTGTGCTCACTGCTGAATCCCCTGCACCCAAGAATAATATCTGGAACATAGCAGGTGACCAGATACTGGATGAATAAAATAATAATGTTCCCATAGCATTTACCTCTTCAGGAGCAAAAGGACAGCATTTGCTGTGCTCGAGTCTAAGCCAGTTGTGGGCTCATCCAGGAACAAGATGGATGGATCAGTTATAAGCTCCATTCCAATACTCGTCCTTTTTCTTTCTCCTCCAGACACACCACGGATAAACTGAGTTCCAATCTAAAATGCAAATATTATTATCAGCCACTATCGTCTGTTGACCTCCTAACACGTGCCAAACTGGTATGAGGTACCTTATCTCATTATCCCCACCTATTCTGAACAGCAAGTAAATGAGTATCTGGGAACAGAGGTAGGTTTCTCTTTAATTAGATGAGTAAACTGAGGCTCATGTCAAGGCTGGTAAGTGGCTAGCCTGATCTCAGACCCATGTTTTTAACAGTTCTTAAATATTTAGTTTTAAGAAAGGAAGTTAGAACTTAAAAATATGGCCCTGACATAGAAAAATCACAAACCAAAAGGGGAGAAAAAGATAGGACAGGAAAAAGGTGAAAGCATCTACAATTTATTATTCTTCTTACATCGTTCTTCTCTCCATCCAAAAAAAATCCTCAAGTGGACTTATAAGCTGTCAATTTAAGAGGCAAATTCACCAGTTATTTTACCCTCAAAACGATTTTATTTGGGAATAGCCAAAAGAACTACAATTCCGGATGTGCATGCTACGGCAAACCACAGGCAAATCCGGAAAACAGGGGAGCTGCTTTTATAGAGAAAAAGCGAAAGTCGGGAGGAGCTGTTGGAAAGTCCACTGGAGAAAGAAACAGTTCAGGGCGGTAACGGCTTCTCATTGGCTGAGCTGCCTGTTTCTCATTGGCTAGACTGTTCCTGATGGGGAAAGAAATCTTCCTTCAGAGTAAAGTTGCTGTCTCTTCCTGTTTGGTGTGAATAATGATGTATGATAGGGCATGAACGTTCCCCCTACAGGCCTTCCCGACTCCAATTTAGTTAAGCTTTTAAAAATTAATTTCCACAAAGAAAAGCTTGGGCTTGGCAGCTGGGAAAGTTCACTTTCTACCATACTACATTAGCACCTAAATCATCATAAGGCTTTCCAAACTGACCCCATCTCTACCTTAACTCACCAAAGAATTCCTGAAATCCTTTCAGACAAATTCAGAAGGCAGAATATTCTACCTGGGCAACTGGCCCAGTTTTTTCAACCAATCAGAGTCACTGTGTGTGGTGGTGGGACCAGAATGGTTTAGGGGGAGGTGGGAGGGAGGAAACAATTCTTATATTAAGAGTCTTCAAAGAGATAATAATCAAATGCTACTCACGCCCTCGATTAAATCCTATAACGACTGAGGTGTAGCAGACAATTTTGGAGACAATTAGGAAAAGTATATGAATATGGGCTCGACATAGCTGATATGAAGATATTGTTAATTTTGTTGTTGATAATGGTAGCATGGTAATGTAGGCAACAGTCTTTATTTTTTTTAAAGATGCATAATAAGTACTCAGGGTTGAAATACGATATTTATAACTTTCTTTAAAATACTTCAGAAAGAAAAAGCTGAAACCATTATGTGATAAAATGTTAACTAGGAAATCTAGGTGAATGTTACTAAGTAATCATACCATTATATTAATTATCCTACAGTCATATCATTACTACAGCAATCAGACTATTCTCTACATATCTGTTACGTTTAAAATTCCATAAAAAGGAAAAATGTTTAAATGTATTGTTTCAATCAATTACATAAATCAATTCTAAGAGGTCAACTATGCCTTCAGCTTATTTTCCTTGGAAACCCATGCAAGGAACTTAGGGCAGTGACTGCCTAGTGGTAAGAACTTTCACTTAAAGCTAAAGAATGGAAAGTACCTTCCTGGAAAGATAAAATCAAATAAATGGAGGCAAAGCAAAGGAAACTCAATCACTCAAAAAACAAAAATAAGTAGTAAACGGTGGAATCTCAGAGTTATTCTTTCAAAGAAAATACACCTTACATAAAAGACTGTCAGAAAGTATCATACAGAGAAGCACCCAGCAGAATACCCCCATTCTTCATTACCTGTCAGTAAGAGAGCTCACAGGGGGACTAAATTATAGCCATCATAATCTAAAAAGTTCATCTTTACCCACAGCTTCAAATGTCTTCCCAATAAATCTTTCATTCCTATTCATCAACTGTCAAGTTCACTCACTCATTTCATTTCTTCTTCCTGATTCTGCACAACCCACAAAAGGAGTTACTTTTGTCTGTCTGGCCCACAGCTGTTATTTATAAAATCTAAAAGAGCCCAGCACATGACAGCCACAAGTAAATATTGGCAGAAGAAAGGAAGAGAGGGATGGAAGACAGAGAGCCAAAAGAAAAGCTATGAAAAAACAACTTAGATGCTACACAAGTTAGAAATAAACCCTAATATGACTTAATATAATTTTGGAAGCTGAATTACAGCAAATGGAAACATACAGAGTGAGAATCCTTGGATTTGCGTCATTTATCCACTCCAGAAATATACCTCAAAATGGAACAAAGTCCCCTGGAGGAAGAGAGGAAGAACAGCTAAAAGGGGGAAAGAAAACAGGAAGAAGGAAAGTTAGTGTAAAGACACTGAAGGAGACATGACAAATGCTAGGGTGGGGAAGGATCAAGAGCTGTAATCACATGGAAAGGGCCACATGTTCTTTGCAAAGGATACTTTGACATACTAGACCACACTGCCACGCTCATTTCCAGGATTCAACCATTTTTAGATTTTTTTTACCTGGTTATTTCCACCTTCGTATGATGAAACTAGTCACTGATCTCATCACCAACTTTTTTTTTTTTTTTTTTTTGCTGAGGAAGCTTGGCCCTGAGCTAACATCTGTGTCAGTCTTCCTCTATTTTGTATGTGGGTCACTGCCACAGCATGGCCTCCAACAGTGGTGTGTAGGTCCACTCCCAGGAAGTGAACCAGGGCCACTGAAGCGGAGTGTGCTGAACTTAACCACTATGCCACAAGGCCAGCCCCCTACTGACAACTTTTGACCACACACATTATAGACAACTTCTGGATAAGAGTTATACCATCTACACAGGTGAGGTCCTGTCTGCTGCTTAGGATACCATCAGTTTTTTCCACATTACCTTTGAATCTGCCACTTTTTCCAGACCTAACTCTTGAATGATCCTGTTAATCCGTTCATTTTTTTCATGATTCCTCATAGTTGTTGGGAGCCGAAGAGCTGCTGAGAACTGTAAATTTTCTCTCACTGTCAGGGTTCCCATCACGACATCATCCTTAAGGCAAAATGGCATTTTAAGAAGACAGATCAGGTCTTTTCTGGTACCGTCACTCTGTAGGATGTGGAACTTAATCCAGGAAAATAACACATCCAAGGCAAAGTTCTAGCTAATGATGAACTTGCAACTGTACAAATTACAATAGCTCCATAATCAGACAGCTGCAAATCCTGACTGGATCATCTTTATTCCCCATCTCTACACCCAAAGAGAACACAGATAATTATGACTACCTCTGGCAGACATTTCCAGACTGCTTTATACAAGGATTTGCCAAACCCGTCTAAGCTAGAAAGGAGAGAGGGGAAGGTAAGGCAAAAAAATAAAACAGCAGTATCTTTTGGAAATGATATGATAACTAGAATTGCTATCATTGCCCCTACAAGGGTCATATCCCAGCTTCTCACTGCTTTTGCATTTAACACTACTCTGAATCTTACAGGAGGTGATGAAAAGCTGGTATAAAGAACGTTGGTCCTGTGAGCATGGCATGTAATCAACTGGAAGGGCACTGAACCATCAGCCAAGGCACCTGCCCATCTAGAAACAGAAGAAATCTAAAACGCGAATCCATGAATACTTACTTGTACCACATAACCTGAACTACATTTGAAATTGGCAGGTCGAGTTGCTCCATTTATCAAAACATCTCCAGACAATCCATGTGGATCTTTCCTTGCAGCTAAGACGTCTAACAATCTATAAAAAGACATATACGTTGCTGTTTTTCCTCCAAGTCAGGCTACACCTCTCAGCTACTCTGAATCCCAATTCTGCTCAAGGTAGAAAATTAATGGATCAAGAAATCCTATAGTTTAATTAAAATTATATATATATTTTAAATTCTCACCTCTCTCTTTTTTTAAGTTTATGCTACAATAAAGCCAAGAAAAACAAAGGCAAGGCACTGTTGGTTGATCCAGCACAGACCTCCCGAAGTGCCCTGCGGCCGTCTGACGTCAGGGGTCCCAAGACAGACAATATGCTCCCTTGTCTAAGACTCAAGTCTTCACTTATGCCTTTGGCTCCATCTCCCCACTTTGAATTTTATCCTTCTCCGTTTCCTCCCCATTAGCTCAAATCATAGCAAACAGCTATATGCCAATCACTTTATCATATCCGGTGAGTAAAGCTGACCTAAGATGACTTCCTGGTCCTCAAGACAACCCCAGCACCTAGAACCAGATTCGACATACAGCAAAACTCAACAAATACCTGCTCCCGTAAAAATCATCTTGAAAAGCACATTAAAACTGCTGAGAAAAGGTTTACTTATACTCTCTGTTATACTCACGAAGATTTGCCGCCGCCTGTGGGTCCCAGAATGGCGTTGAGGCCAGGTCTCATGATCCCACTGCAAATGGAGAAACATAACGATTTACTGGGCCACTTTAAAACTGGTTCTATTAATTTAGGGTGTGCATTTAATACAGTCACTGAAAGTTGATGAAATTAGACAGAAAACAAGCACAAACCAACTCTCAAAGGAAAAAGACACCGAATTGTCGATTAATAGAAGTCTAGTATACAAAGGATGTTATCACTAGTCAGAACCTATAAGAAAAACGGCTTGAGTGCCTATAAATTCCTTTCAGTTATTTTCTAAACCACCTACCTACTTTTCCCGGAAAAGGACACACAAGGTTCCTTGAAGTAACAGAGTCTGGTGAAGCATCTGTTACACTCAGTCCCCTTAACACAGTGTGAAGCGCATCACAGGTCTTCAGTAACGTTTGATGACAGTTATCTTCAAGGCACCTCATTTGCTACCTAGTCAAGTTCTACACAATTACTAAGTCAATGGATTTCTAGAGTCATCAGTAGCAGTGTTCTCACTACTCAAATCTAGTCAGACCAAGAAACATATCTGAAGCAGAAGTTCAATGGCTATAACAAAGCAACACACGGGTGAAAAAGAAAATATCACCAGTTCTTAACCCTCACAAAATTCTTAATTCAACTAGAAAAGTAAAACATATACCCTCCAGATATATCATTTTCTTCCTTGTAAAGTGTCCGATAAGCGGATCGGAAAGTTCTCAGTTTAGAAGCAGGAGACACTACTTCCTACAGGGGACATTTCTAAGGATGTATAGACATGGTGTGGACAAAGCACGTTCCAAACAAACTAAGTAGATGTTTGAGGGTAGTGAATATTCAGATAGAGAGCAGGAAGGTAGAAAAAATTAAGGCAGTGTTGACTGTGCTGAGACTCAAGAAGGCAGCAAAGAGTTTGAATTTTATCCTGCAGGTAACGGGTCGAAGGGTGGGGAGAGCGGAGCAGAGGAAGAAGTAAGGGTAGGACTAAGGCAGTCACGCAGGCGTGACGAGATGGAGGCCTGATGAAGCCCTTGCAGACCCCTGGGACCAGAGCCCAATCTCTCTTTGGAATTGGTAGGTAAATCAGAATTTAGTCCAGAGAGAAATTAGTATCTATTTCAAGTGAAAGGTCCAAAGTCCAAGGCTATACTCCCACATAATGATTTTCACAGAGGCAAACATTATAATCATACCATTGCTGTGAACGACAGACACACCTCACAATACACCTGTGCCCTGCAGTGCCTCAGTCCAGGAGGGCCTCCGCATTGACTGAACATTGTGCTTGAATTGTCACAACTGTAAAATGGCTGGTGGGTGTAAGCGTGAAATGTACCTTTCACTTTGCTCATTAACTAAGGTGCCTCTCACTGAAACACTGGACAAATACAATGAGTTAGGTAAACCAGCAACAAGCTGTAGAACAGAAAATTTTATTCTTTCAGTGACTCACCCCCCAAATGTAAAAAGATACGCTAATGGTTGGGTAAACTTTCAAGATGCATTTACCAATAACTCTCGATGCATCCTCTTTATTAATAGCTACCTAGCAACTGCTTCTAAAATGACCAGAAATAAGCTTGCCATTATTACACTAAGATTTCATTATCAGAAAGCCTTTCCAGGTTTTTAAAATATCCTCTCAAATAAAGACCAAGCAATCCTAAATGATTAACCCAAAATTGAATGTGAACGTTCTAAGACAAAGAATTTTACAGGTCCCTGGGTTGGGCTTACTTTGACACTAAACTCAGCATTACAGAAAACAACAATGTACAATCACAAACGCCAGAGTTCCCATTTGGAGCATTGGCTAATTCTCCCTCCATTCATTCACACTCTTCTAAGTCATCAGACAGAGTTAAGAGTAAAACAAACAGACAAAGCACTGGCCTTTGTGGAGTCTACATTCTAGTCCAGGGATCAGCAAACCACAGCTGATCACCTGTTTTCTATGTTCACGAACAAAGCGTTATTGGCACAGAACCACACTCATTCATTACATCTACGGCTGCTTCATGCTAAACACAGTAGCGTAGTTGCAACACAGACGTTGCAAAAAAGCTGAAAATATTTACTATCATGCCCTTTACAGAAGTTTGCTGACCCACGTTCTAGTCTAAAGTGCAAATTCCCTCGTTTACCTACCCCACCCTACCCTCCACCCTGTTGTCATCCTTCAAAACCCATTCGTCACCCTCATCTACTGCTTTATAGCACTTGCGTGCAAGAAGTCTCCCTCACTATACTGTAAAATCTTGTCAACAAGAATTGTGTCATCTCGTTTTACTCCTCACTCCCAGAGCAGACAGCACAGTAGTCTACAACGGGTGGATCACTGAATACTGAATACATGAAATGAAGCCCAGTGCCAGGATTTGTGTCACATCTATTACATTTTAGTGGATAATGATTAATCCTTTGCTCTCATTTTATGGATGAGAAATCAATGCAATTCCCACTGCTTGGAGCATAGGCCCTGCCCTACAGACACACACACACACAATCTTCACACTCTCCCCACACCCCTGGCCCTCCAATTTAGGGTTAGGGGCTTCCAGTGTCTTCTAATACCTCTATCACAGCAGAACGACATAGTGAAGTGCTCTAGTTGTGTGAATCCCCCATTAGACAAGAAAGTTTTTGAGAACAGAGGACATATCTGTGTCATTAGCATCTTGCACAATGTCAGGCACCCAGTAGATACTCAAAATTTGTTGGATAAATGAGGCTCTATATTTTTATAAATGACAATTACTTATAGGAAAACAAAAGAAAAGTTTTCAATAAAAACAAATGTCAAGACATTTCTCCAAAGAAGACATACAGATGGCCATTAGACACATGAAAAGATGCTCATCATCACTAATCACCAGGGAAATGCAAATCAAAACTACACTTAGATATCATCTTATGCCCATTAGAATGGCTATAATCACCAAGACAAAAAATAATAAATGTTGGAGAGGTTGTGAAGAAAAGCGAACCCTCATCCACTGCTGGTGGGAATGCAAACTGGTGCAGCCACTATGGAAAACAGTATGAAGATTTCTCAAAAAATTAAAAATAGAACTACCATATGATCCAGCTATTCCACTACTGAGTATTTATCCAAAGAACTTGAAGTCAACAATTCAAAGAGATTTATGCACCCTTATGTTCACTGCAGCATTATTCACAGTAGCCAAGAGGAGTGGAAGCAACCCAAGTGCCCATCAGCTGATAAATGGATAAAGATGTGGTATATATATATACAATGGAATACTACTCCGTCATAAAAAAAGACAAAATCGTCCCATTTGCAACAACATGGATGGACCTTGAGGGTATTATGTTAAGCGAAATAAGCCAGACAGAGAAAGACAAACACCGCATGATTTCACTCATATGTGGAAGATAAACAAACACGTGGACAAAGAGAACAGATTAGTGGTTACCAGAGGGGAAGGGTGTTGGGGGGGTGTGTGAAAGGGGTAAAGGGGACATTTGTACAGTGACAGACGGCAGCTAGACTTTTGGTGGTGAACACAACGCAGTCTACACAGAACACTGACAAATAACAATGTACACCTGAAATTTCACCATGTTATAAATGATTATGACCTCAATAAAATCTAAAAAAATAAAAAATAAAATAAAACAAATGCCAAGAAGCAGGAAAAACTTATGCAAAATAGGTATAGTCTGACCAGAAAGAACTTCATTACATTCCCCACTTACTATTCCATGTTCAAATAAGACATCAATCAGCCCTGTTAGCCTGCCCTTCCCTTCTTACAGCAAAGGTGATGGGAGCACCAGGTGTAGGTGCAGGGACCGCCAGCACCCAGGAACACAGGCTGCAAAGGGAGGTGGGGGGAAGACAAAAGACAGCTGGAAGGTCGGAGCCTGCTTATATTAAGGAGTAAGAAAACTGATGGAGCAAATCAATAAGCGTATTAAGGATAATAAGAGCCAGGTTTTCACTTTTTGAGAAGATGTTTTACAAACATGGAAATGTGGAAAGAACCCTAAGGTGTTAGATCGGAATTGTAGGTATTAATGAGAAGTCACGGGTTTTAATCTACATACACAGATAGACATAGAAAGTTTGAGATATGCACATGTGTGCACATATATACATACAAATCTTCCCCAGGTCTGTCCACAGAGAAGCCCTAGAAGCTATGACATCCCGATAGCAATGAACATTCCAAACACCCAGATCTTGGTTTATAAATATGAACCTCCACAAAAAGGAACATCAGCTGAGTCCGGTCTGAGGCAGGGTAAGAGTACAGGGAGTCTGGAATTCTTGTTATGCCAACAAAATACACAAAGAATGAGAGAATATGTCAAAAGAATGAGTTTAAAAAAACAAAACACGGAACCTACCTTGACCCAATCAGGAACAACAGGAGTATCAAGATGAGTATCAAAATGAATAACGCATTACTATTGAATGCCATTGAATAAAATACAAACCCATGAGTCTACACTGATATAAATAAATTAACGAAGAGATGATGACTAAAGCTTTTCCCTTTTAGTAGAATGCAAACTAACTCGTATAGAAGAAATGGATGAAAACACAAAATCACTCTTCGGTAACCTGTATAGAAGAGATGGCTGAAAACACAAAGTCACTTTTGGTAACTATCATAGTGTTGGTTACTAATTCACCCGGCAGTCATCAATAGGGGCTGAAGCTGGTAGGCTGAGGTTTAATGAGGAAAAGGGTTTGGAAATAACGTCAGAGTTATCTCCCCTCATAATATTTATTAATTACAAAGAGGAAAATGATGGCTTATGGTGAAGGCTGGAAGATACCAACATGACCAGGCGATCAAGGTTAACATCACCTCGGGTGCGACAGGAAAATCCCAGGTTGGGAGAGACCAAGGAGACATAATGTGGTGTTCAGTCAACTATGTGAAGACCACGATTGACCTACGGCCCCTTAGGACCCACCACTGCATCCAACGTGAGGCTATGCTTCCCCTGGGCTGCTCCCAGGCAGTGACTGAGTGGTTATATTAGAAAGAGTCCTTATTTCTGGAAAATATACACTAGAGGCGTTAGAGATAATGGAGCACCATAGGGACAGCCTGCTCTCAAATGGTTCAGAAAAATACCAATGATAATGGGTACATGAAGAGCCAAAATGATGAGCAAATCAACGAAATGTTAATAGGTGGGGAATCTGGGTGAAGGGTTATGTTCCCACAGGGTTTAAGTTCGAAATTATTTCAAAATAAATTATTAATTTCAGAAATCCCCAAATAGTATAATGAATTTCACTGAAGAATACAGGATATCCACACATCTCCTGCACTGTTTTTTCCATAGCTCTTCAGCATTAGTGAGGAAAAGCTCAAATGCTGGGGATGGAGAAAAAACTAAGCATAACAGAAAGATTGTTCACGAGGCAGTAAAATCTCAACTTTTTGAATTCTCACAGTCATATTTTCTTTTATCTTCTTACCCCCACAGAGAACATCAGGTTCTAGTTACTGAGTTCTACAAATGAGATTACAAATGTCCAAAGGAATAATAAAAATCAAGATGCTCATCAGTTTTGGAATACAGTTACTATTCTGAATGGTGATAGAGCTATCAAACACAAATCAAAAATAAGATAAAGGAGAACAACCTTTCTCCCATCCTAGAAACTCGACTTAGTTGAAGCCAACAGATAGGAGAAAGATTAGAAACACTACATCAAAAAGGGGTGAACTTTCTCAGATAAGCCTAAACCAGAAATGTTAATAAGCAAGAAAACCCTGGTGGCCTTTGAACTGTAAAATTTAAAAGAATTACAAGATTTGACTGAATTTTTATGAAGCCAGGAATGTCCTTAAGGATGAACTCATCTGTTGCTGAACTGCATATGACTGAACCACATAAAACATTATGCAGCCTCAAGCAGATGACACTTCTAGTGTATCGAGTTACTAATCTACTGGCTTTAAAACTAAGCAAGATAAATGTACCCTTAGAGTAAAATGCAAAATACTGTATGCATTTTAAATCTAGTCAACCTGCACATATTCGAATCATTTGCTACCTTCACTTAGCACAAAATCCGACGTGACCAACATTTTCTTGATTATTATGTGCCACAAAAAACTTGTCAGCTTTCAATTCTTCACAATAGCCAAGTCTTGGAAGCAACCTAAGTGCCCATCAATGGACAAATAGATAAAGATGTGACATACACACATACACACACACACAATAGAATGTTACTTACTCAACCATAAAAAAGATGAAATCTTGCCATTTGTGCAACATGGGTACTATGCTAAGCAAAATAAGTCAGATAAAGAAAGCCAAATACCATATGATTTCACTCATATGTGGAAGATAAACAAACAAACAAACACACAGATATGGAGAACAGATTGGTGGTTACCAGAGGAGAAAGTGCTAGAGGGACACTGAAAGGGGTAAAAGGGCACATATGTACTATGACAGACAGCAACTAGACGGTGGTGAACACGATGCAGTCTATACACAAGTTGAAATACAATGATATATACCTGAAATATAATGATTTACACTTGAAATTTATATAATGTTATAAACCAATGTGACCTCAATAAAGGAAATTTTTTAAATAAATAAAAAAATTAAAACATCAGCTTTCAGAAAGGCCAGTCAATTCTATTTAGGCACACAGCAAAACACAGAAGCTTTGCACCTACCATTCCTCTTATCAGGGATATGTCATTCTCCTAGTCAGGGTTTCTTAACTACCACAAGAAAGCAACAAGAAGTAGGCATGACAATAGATGTTGCTACTCGGAGAAAGTTGTATCTAATCCTGCACAGCATGTGACCTCACCACAACCCAAGCAATCTCAGAGCCCCATCGTTTCTTTCCCACTCACATCCAAAACTTTTCTCCCCTACTCGTCATTTCCTAGCCCTCTGGGAGCAGCTGGCTGCTAGCAACAGGAAAGATCACAGTCCCATGTAACGCATCAAGAAAATGCGAGAAACAGCTGATTCCATCTAGCTGTGCAGCCCTACCTGGCCAAAGCTGCTTGTTTTGTCTAGGAGTCATTAATTCCCCTATTAAACAAACAAAATAAAACACATAGGCCATGCTGTCTGAGCAAACCAAGATTCCCTCCCTCTCCACTCCAGAGAGTAAGAGTCAAGCTGAGTTCTCTAGAAATCAGAAAAACATTAACAACCCTAATGGCCATCATCTATGAAAGAACAGAGGTACCTGGTACCAGTAGATTCTATAGAAATCCTCATTTCCCTCCCCACTCTACTGCCCAGCCCACCACCACATGATGAATCCACTGCTAGATGAAGAGAATGAAGACTATAGCTTTATATTCATTTGGATTCTAAAATATAATTAAATGTATTGATTTGGATCCTAAATTCTCCTATCACGTTAGACTTAAACTGCATAACTTAAGCTAAGCTATAATTGTCTTATGTTTAAATAGTTTCCCTTTGTCTGTATAACGGGGGAAAGCATTAAGTAAATTGTCACAGATTATAAACTACTATATAAACAGACCACTTATTTAAAATCTATTTGAAAACCAAAGTACTTTCACAATATACTACCATTTCAACCTCCTGACCTTGCTTCTAGAACACAAAGGACATGATGTGCATAAGGACCTAAAAGTGTCTGACTCATAAGGTACAGTGGCAGATCTTCTATTTCACAGATTAGAAAACTGAAGTTTAGAGACTACAATTATATCCCCACAATCAAGAAGCAGTAAATCGTATAGCCACACCTCTTTCCACTAAAACACAAGGCTTACCCAGAAAAAACTAAATGACACATTAACTGTTTGGTTTTGTAGGGGAGCAGAATTTGCCACCTCAAGATGCATCTGTTTGGCATGAGGGTTATTTTGGGCTGGTTATTTTTAAAAAACTGCAGACACAAGAGAAGCTCTGAAAACTAAGGAGAAGCTGGCCTTCATAAGAGACATTTACATCTGTAGGGGAAATCTCCATCTGTAAAGGTGTCTCCTTCTCTGTACCAGGAAGAGGAGGATGACCTTATTTCTAGAAACTCTCATCAGTGCGGAAGGCAAGGACTTAAATCTGCATAATAACCTTACTCTTGTTTACTGTCCTTTTCTGGTAATCTTCCATAACTGACTCCCCCTATCTGCAACATCCTCCTTTGTCTTTAGCTGAAGGTGATATTTAAGGTGGTGGCTTTGGCCATTCTGGCGAGTTACTCAGATTTCCTGAGTTTCTCCCACATATACATGTTATAAAGCTTTGTTCGATGTTCTCCTGTTATTCTGTCTCATGTCAATTTAATTCTTAGACCTGCCAGAAGGACCCAGAGGGTAGAGGAATTGTCTTGCTCCCCTAGTTTCTCAAACAAAAGTTGATGCACATGGTACAATCCCTTTAAAGCAGTTTGGCAGTTCCTTTAAAAGTTAAATATACACATCATATGTGACCCAACCATTTCACTCCTAGTTTAGCCAGAAGAAATGAAAGCACATGTCTGTATATCTGTACAGACTTATACACAAAAGTTCACAGCACCTTTATCTGCAATAGGTAAAATCCGTGAAGTTCACTGTATGTCAATAGAGCCATTTAACTAAAAGTTCATGCACATACTTGATATTAGATAGTATTTCTTTCTCAACTGTTTTTCGACAAAGTAGAAAGCCACTCTTCTCTTTTACTCGATAGCAGATGTTATGAAAAGACAACACAGCTCCTTCAGTAAATGCCTTCACGCCCTTGGGAGTCTTCTTGGGGAGGCCATTGGTGTTTCTTTGTGACATCGGGATAGAAACTTGGTCATTACTGGACGACATTTGGAGAGATTCTGCGTTTCTGTAGAGGGAAAAGCAACAGTAAGCTGATCGTTCAGAGAAATAAATGAGATTGTAAACACCAGATAACAGTACCCTTAAAATAAGTTATAAAATAAATAAGTCCTGGGGATGTAATGTACAGCATGGTGACTATAGTTAGTAACACTGTACTGTATACTTGAAAGTTTCTAAGAGAGTAGATCTTAAAAGTTCTCATCACAAGAAAAGAAAAATTTGTACTATATGTGGTGATGGATGTTAACTAGACATTGTGGTGATGATGTCACAATATATACAAATATTGAATCATTATGTTGTACACCTGAAACTAACATTATGTCAATTATATCTCAATTTAAAAAATAAAAATAAGGGCTGAATTTATAGCTCAAGGCTTTACATCCCAGGTTGTTATACTCCTTCAATCAGCTAAGAAGATAAACTCCAAAACTGCTAGGAATGACACATTTCCTTAAGAGGCAAACATATTTAAATTCTTAGATCTAGAATTAACTATAAAAATGATTAAGGAAATCAAACCAATATTTAAGCAATTAAAGAATTCAAAACAAAAACCAAGTTTTTTTATAAATGAGGTTTAAAGGGTCTCATTAAACAAGTTACAAAAGGCCCCTTTAAAAGATTTAGAGTAAGACCTTAAGGTGTACTTAAAATCTTGTGGGGGCTGGAATAGTTAAGCTCGCACACTCTGCTTTGGATCCTGGGCATGGACCAAGCACCGCTGATCAAGCCACGCTGACACAGTGTCCCACATAGCAGAGCTAGAAGGATATACAACTAGAATATACAACCATGGACTGGGGGGCTTTGGGGAGAAGGAGAAAAAAAAAATTCATTTAAAAACAAAAGCTTGTGAAATAGGTATGAAATGTGAAACTTCCATAAACCTAGTTTTAGTTTTTAAAAATCAAAGCAATCTATGAAGAACTTCCTCTCTGGCTATGATGGAGTAGCTGTGACAAACCAGTCACCCTCCTAAGAGCAACTATAGAACTAGATCAAATATGAGATTCAACTGTTTGAAGAGTTCTCTCTGATGACAGCAACCAAAACAGCCAGGATTTTAGGAGCCAAAATTCTGTAAAGGAGAGAACAACATAAAGGCAAACGTAGCATTCTGTGCACCTTTCCTCTTGAGGCAAACTGCACACACCTGGGGCAAAACTCAGAAAAACCAGGCAGAAAGAACTGCTAGAGGCTAGAAAGCTGAGCAAATGTTTCAGCAGTCTCTCCATGCTAAGAAGACAAAATTTAGAGTTGCGAGCCTACCAAGAGGAGCCCTGGAAACCCCAAGCTTTTGAGATGCCAGAAGGGCCATATCCCGGAAACACGGCAACCCAGAAATAGACCAGCCTCTACTCAATCAAAGTGATTTGCTCATCCTTTATTTGTCTGCTGGAAGAAAGTTAAATCCACTCTCAAAGAAGATATCATACAAATTTTCAACCAAAACTTACCAGGCATGCCAGAAAACAGGACCTAATGTTCCAAAAATAAGGAAATAGAAATAGACCACCAGTAATGCAGACTGGAGTTACCAGACATTGACAATAAAATAACTGATTAATATGTTTGTTTAAGAAAATAAAAAGATAGACCATCACCAAAGAAACAGAATCTATATTTTTTAAAAAAATCAATAAATGAATGTAACAGCCGTTTAGATGCAGATTAGAAGGAGAATTTGTGACCTAGTGGACTGGCATCTAGATTAAAGTGGATGAAAATTATCATCATGGAAAAGAAAAGGAAAAAAAAAAATCCAGACTGAAAAGGATGAAAACATAAAAAGCCTAAGAAACATATGGGACATGATGAAAAAGGTCAAGCACACATGTAACTAGAGACCTGGGATGGGGGGCGGAAATGCAGCAGAACCAATGTTTGAAGAAATACTGGACAAGCATTTTCTAAAACTGACAAGGTATCAAGCCACAGATTGAAGGAGCTCTATGAACACCAAAGTAGGATAAACACAATGAAACCTCAGCTGGGCATATCACATAAAGCCGCTAAAAAACAAAGTAATCTCTGCGTAACTGTTTCTGTACCCAAAACCACTCTGTTGTTACCACACTACAACAATCTATTCAGTTTTGGAACCTGGAAAAGTAGGAACCCACTTAAAGATTGGCACCCAGGAAACTAAAGGTAAATACCTTAGTTTCCATCCGTCAACACAATGAGCGGTAATGATTAGCCAAAATCCTATTCTATTAAAGCAGTGAACAAGAAAGCACAGGCCCAAGTAATCTACGGCCCTTACCTCTTGACTTTACAACTTATGAAGCCGTCTCCCCACGTCTTCAGAAGCCAAAATATGCCAGTTCCAATGCCCACAATCACTTCTCCTGCTGCCACCTCTACTTAATGTCCAGCCACTGACGACACCTTCTAACCCTCTCTTCCAAGACACATTAAGAGGATCAAATACACACTCCTTGAACTTAAATAGGTCATTGGCTCAAGATGGAAGTTGGTAAGAGATTTTTGTGAGATTTTCTGCTAAGAAAAGGCACGAACTGGAACTAAAGTACCCAAGAAAGATCATCCGTGCCCAGACAAGACAAAGCGCTAAACCTGTTATAAATACAACAATTTTAGAAGTGTGTGTGTATGAAGAGTTTGACTTCACTGCAATAGCATTAAGTTTGTAACTCACACTGCCTAGGAGCTGCCTGGCTCCTCACTAGGATTCCAACAATCTTCCTCAGGGAGACAGCGGGGCCTCAGTTGGTTCATGAGTCACAAATCCAGCGATGTGACAGATATACCTGAGGCAGACCATCCAGCAGAAGCACACTACACCAAAAACACTTTTTTTATTTTTAACACCAATATGGAACAATGCATTACTTTAAGAGGAAGCAAAAAATAGATAGCAATGATTAAAAAATAAAGAAAATGCAACACCTCAGCACCATATTAACGTCAAAGTACTCAATCTGCACTTAATACAGGATACTGGGTTAGACGAATCAATAAATGCAACTGCTCCCAAGTAAACAGTAATCTTTGCCGCCAGTTGAAAGCTCCCTAGGCATATCTGTCTCCCCTGTTGGATTAGCATTATTTTCCTTTTATATATATATTTTTTTTTTGAGGAAGATCAGCCCTGAGCTAACATCTGCCAATCCTCCTCTTTTTGCTGGGGAAGACTGGCCCTGAGCTAACATCTGTGCCCATCTTCCTCTACTTTATATGTGAGACACCTGCCACAGCATGGCTTGCCAAGCAGCGCCATGTCCGTACCCAGGATCCGAACCAGCAAACTCAGGGCCGCCAAAGAAGCAGAACATGCGTACTTAACTGCTGTGCCACCAGGCCAGCCCCAGCATTATTTTCCTTTTATATATATATATTTTAAAAACCGTGGGGGACACCCCATGGCCAAGTGGTTAAGTCCATGCACTACACTTCCATGGCCGGGTTTTCACCGTGGGGTTTCACTAGTTCGGATCCTGGGTGTAGACATGGCACCGCTCATCAGGCCATGCTGAGGCGGTGTCCCACATAGCACAACCAGAAGGACCTACAACTGGAATATACAACTATGTACTGGGGGACTTTGGGGAGAAGGAAAAAACCCTAAATCACATGTAGATTTCCCTATAACAAAAATCAGCTTCCAGAGCACCTGCTAGTCCTAATTGGGTTTTATATCACCTTCTGTACCCTAAAGCCCCTGTAAAGACTAAGTCCTTAGATAAAAGAAGCATCCAAATGGCTCACAACCAGCCTACGTGGTCCCCTGGCCTGATTATATCCTTAGCCAGCTGGAAAATTCTTTTCAAACATGATCGAGCTAGAGGAAGATTGGCATGGATGTTAGCTTAGGGATAATCTTCCCCAGCAAAAGAAAAAAAAATAATCAAGGGGCTTTGAATGATGAGATTCTTCTCCCTTTTCTAGCTGTCCCCTTGCTGGTGGCCTCCCTATGTCACCTTTCCACTCTTCTTGTTGTTTTCTAACTAATGAGGCCACATTTTTACTTTTTTGAAAAGTTTGAACAATTTTCTTCCATAGATGCTGGTATATCTATTAAAAGAATGATAATCTGAATTAAAAATGCCATTTTTCTCTATTTCACTCCTTATCATACTCTTAATCTGATAGTGTACTGTAAACAAAGTGCATAATACAATGGAAACTGCACATAAGGAAGACAAGCACACAGGTCGAGCCTGAAGCCCTCAGCCAGACACCTGTGCAGTTATAATTATTGCACATGCTGGTAGGAGCCAGAGGGGCCTCAGGTCACGAGTTCAGGGGCCTCTTCGTCCATTTTTTCCCAGGGATAACATGAGTAAATGGAGAGTTGCACTCTGCCTCACAACCATAAGGACATGCTGTGCAAGGACACACCTCTTCAACTATTTACCGTAACGCCAAGAGTTTACAATTCTGATGAGGAGTTAGGGTGCCTCATGTCACTGTCAGGTGACTGCTACAAAACTTATGACTGGACAGAAATAGAAGCAGGATATTATCGAATACTTTTTAGAAAAAACACTCAAAATCTGAATTTTAACTTCCCTAAATTATCCCTTGCTTTTAAAAAGTCCTCTATCAATCAATCCACGGGTTTTCACGCTGTGCCCGATTTGACAGATCCAGCCTGAAGCATCCCGTGTTGATACTGTATTCAGGTCCAAAGCCTGCTCAGTAATGTAGAGTTGGGGTCAGACCACTGAGGTCTCCAGGCCAGCGGACAATCCGAGGCTGGCACTCTAGGCCCCCACAGCACTGCAGCAGCATAATCTGGGGAATGTGGCACAAAGGACAAGGTCAGCCAGGGAGGAAGAGACCCCATCATGGAAGGTCTTGTACAGTCAGCAAGAAGCCACTGAGGCCTTTTAAGCAGGAAAGGTTCAGGATCTTAATTATGCTTTTAAGAGACCATTCTGGCTGCTGTGTGGCAATTGCAGAAGCAAAGTCCACATAGAAGTTATTGCAGAAAACCAAGTGAGACAAGCTTGGACCAGGGGATGGGGCTGT